CCGCACGGGCATTCCTGACAAAAAGCTTGTGTTTGTGTGTACAGAAATGTGCTATTCACCCTCCCTGTTAAATTTGATCTAATCATGTCCTGAAACACAGCTCCTCTCCTGCTTTCACTTCTCATACTGACGAAGAGAGCGATTTAGTTGTGAATGAATCCCCCGAACGACTCTTTCACTAACGTTAGCCGACAATAATACAAGTTTCTGGCAGCGCAGCATCTCGTTGTCATATTTCTTTTGCATTGTTTGCTGATTTTATTCAACAAAACTAGCATAAGCCGAGTGTTTAGTGAGAGTTGGAGCTGCTTTGTCTTATGGTGAATGCAGTAAGTGACTGTTATCATCAATAACGTTACCTGATTAGCACAAAAGTTCAGAACATACAAAAACAGAAAAAAACTTAATAATACCTATGAAATGTTCTGCCTTTGTGCTTTGTTTTCTTTGTTTGCTCGTTTCTACACCTGTAGACAGCGCTAAAGTCCCGCATCTTCACGTAATAACACTGTCTTGACTAGTGCGGTTGAATGACATTTGTCCTGGGAGCACTGTACCAATGTGGCGGCGCTATTAACGCATGCTTAGGGTCCCTATGCAATATCTAGTGTATATATCTATGGTCCCTGGGTAGGAAGTAACAAATTTAACAGTAATAACCAATACAATATACACTTACAATACAATAAATAAAATACATCATTGTCAATAAAATGAAATCAAATCAGCGGCTGCATATTTGATTTAGTTTGAGCCAAATTTTAAGAACAGTTTTAAAATGATTAAAAGTGCTGCTCTCGCTGATATACACTGGTATTTTATTACAATCTTTCTGCTGCTTTAACTGAAAAAACTGATAGTCCAAAAGCAGTTCTCTTAAGTTTAACTGAACAATCACCTCTAACCGATGACCTAGTCTGTCTTATATTGTCCTTGCCGACAATCACACATTGTTTAAGGGGTGGTGGTGCAAGATCAGGAAATATTTTATACAATAAACACACATCAGCATAAAATAAGAAACTGTCGAATGTTAGTAATTTTTGTTGTGCAATACAGTTGCAATGATGATAAATGGCGGAATCCACACAATGAATGTGACTCAGTTTCAGTGACATCTAAATTCATAAACAAGATTGTTTACTTGGTTACGGCACTTTAGTTTTTGACACTTCTCGTGCTCTGATTTGTTGCTGAATAACCAATCAGAGCACTCTTTTTAGCATGCAGAAATGGGCCAATTCAATCCTAACTAGACTCAAAGCTGACCGATGGAGGTAGAGTCTAGATGAGATACAGCTGAGGATACGTTTTTGAAACGGTACAACAATAATTAATGTTTTTACATTACTGTGATGGTTGGGTTTAGGTTTGGGCTAGAGGTAGGCCTTAATAAAATACAATTTAATGGGTAATTTAATAAATAATATGAATAATACTCTGTATATTTACTGTTTTAACATTACTGTGAGGGTTAGGTCTAGGTTTGGGCTAGGGGTAGACCTTAATAAAATATTCAATTCAATTCAATTCAATTCAGCTTTATTTGTATAGCGCTTTTACAATGTAGATTGTGTCAAAGCAGCTTCACATAAATGGTCATAGTAACTGGAACAGTGTGGTTCAGGTTTTAGTGTTTAAGTTCAGTTCAGTTCAGTTTAGCTCAGTTCAGTGTGATTTAATCATTACTGAGAGTTCAAACACTGAAGAGCAAATTCATCGATGCGTAGCTCAACCAATCCTGAACCATGCGAGGCAGTGGCGAAGGCGGAGAGGGAAAAAAAACTTCACCAGATGGGAGTGAAGAAAAAAAACCTTGAGGGAACCAGACTCAGTTGGCCACGACCATTTTTTTGAAATACAATTTAATGGGTAATTTAATAAATAATATGAATAATACTCTGTATATTTACTGTTTTTACATTACTGTGATGGTTGGGTCAAGGTTAGGGCTAGGGGTAGACCTTAATAAAATACAATTTCATGGGTAATTTAATAAATAATATGAATAATACTCTATATAATTACTACGTTTTACATTACTGTGATGTGGTGCATTTTAGTACATTTCTCTTTTTGTAATGTGCCTAGGCAGTGAAAGCAAAGGACAGACAGTAGCGTCCCTGCAGGAATCTGTCAGATGTTGTTGGTTCTGTATGCACAGACTCTTTCTCCGAGGGCAGCCATCTATCTACCTTTGCCAAAAAATTGGCACAGATTTTAAACTGACTGAACACTTAAGTAATGCACACTATAAACTTACTCAATTAAGCTATTTCTTATACAAGTTAAATTTACAAAATAAATACAGTTCTAATCTGGCCCTACCCTAGGACGCCTGTGGCAGACTCTGAATTTCAGAAGAAAGGGGAGAAATTATAGAGTTAAAGGGATAATTCATCCAAAACTTAAAATTGTCATAATTTACTTAGCCTTCACTCGTTCCAAACATGTGTGACTTTCTAATGTTGAACACAGGGGTAGACCTTAATAAAATACAATTGATTGGGCTATTTAATAAATAATATGAATAATACTGTGTATAATTACTGTTTTAACATTACTGTGATGGTTGGGTTTAGGTTTGGGCTATAGGTAGGCCTTATTAAAATACAATTTAATGGGTAATTTAACAAACAATATGAATAATACTCTGTGTAATTACTGTTTTAACATTACTGTGATGGTTGGGTTTAGGTTTGGGCTAGGGGTAGGCCTTAATAAAATACAATTGAATAGATAAATTAATAAATTATATGAATAATACTCTGTATATTTACTGTTTTTACATTACTGTGATGGTTGGGTCAAGGTTAGGGCTAGGGGTAGACCTTTATAAAATACAATTTCATGGGTAATTTAATAAATAATATGAATAATACTCTATATAATTACTACGTTTTACATTACTGTGATGTGGTGCATTTTAGTACATTTCTCTTTTTGTAATGTGCCTAGGCAGTGAAAGCAAAGGACAGACAGTAGCGTCCCTGCAGGAATCTGTCAGATGTTGTTGGTTCTGTATGCACAGACTCTTTCTCCGAGGGCAGCCATCTATCTACCTTTGCCAAAAAATTGGCACAGATTTTAAACTGACTGAACACTTAAGTAATGCACACTATAAACTTACTCAATTAAGCTATTTCTTATACAAGTTAAATTTACAAAATAAATACAGTTCTAATCTGGCCCTACCCTAGGACGCCTGTGGCAGACTCTGAATTTCAGAAGAAAGGGGAGAAATTATAGAGTTAAAGGGATAATTCATCCAAAACTGAAAATTGTCATAATTTACTTAGCCTTCACTTGTTTCAAACATGTGTGACTTTCTAATGTTGAACACAGGGGTAGACCTTAATAAAATACAATTGATTGGGCTATTTAATAAATAATATGAATAATACTGTGTATAATTACTGTTTTAACATTACTGTGATGGTTGGGTTTAGGTTTGGGCTATAGGTAGGCCTTATTAAAATACAATGTAATGGGTAATTTAACAAACAATATGAATAATACTCTGTGTAATTACTGTTTTAACATTACTGTGATGGTTGGGTTTAGGTTTGGGCTATAGGTAGGCCTTATTAAAATACAATTTAATGGGTAATTTAACAAACAATATGAATAATACTCTGTGTAATTACTGTTTTTACATTACTGTGATGGTTGGGTTTAGGTTTGGGCTATATGTAGGCCTTATTAAAATACAATTTAATGGGTAATTTAACAAACAATATGAATAATACTCTGTGTAATTACTGTTTTAACATTACTGTGATGGTTGGGTTTAGGTTTGGGCTATAGGTAGGCCTTATTAAAATACAATTTAATGGGTAATTTAACAAACAATATGAATAATACTCTGTGTAATTACTGTTTTAACATTACTGTGATGGTTGGGTTTAGGTTTGGGCTAGGGGTAGGCCTTAATAAAATACAATTGAATAGATAAATTAATAAATTATATGAATAATACTCTGTATAATTCCTGTTTGTACATTATTGTGTTTAGGCTTGGGTTGGGAGTAGACGTTAATTAAATACAATTAATAGATAGCTTAATAAATAATCTAAATAATTCTCGGCTGCAGCTGTATCCCTTATAGCAACAATCGACTGATGGCTCAAGACTAACCAATGGCCGACTTTCGGTATAGTGTCTCCCAGCCTTAATTACACTGGTGTGATCAGACATCGAAATAGATCGATCACAACTCTGATGACCTTTAGCTTTATAAGGAATAAAGATGTTTCTATTGACAGGCCTCAAGTCCAAATCAAGGCCCAGATCATTGACCAAGTTGAGTCGAAAGTCTTGTGTCAAATCGAGTCTTTAATTTTGGGACTCGAGTCCCTGTGACCCAAGTTCACAACACTGTGCATTAATGACTTGGTTTTGTTTTTATGTGTGTAGGATTGACCAGGTAGCAACTCTGTACCAGAACATCCGTTTGACGGAGCCCAGAATGGTCCCTCAGTATGAAAGGGTTCTTGTCAGTTTCATCAAGGAGATCCGGATACTGAACACAGAAATGGAGCATCTGGCGCTGGCTGTCAAGAGGTACACACACAAACACACACACACACACACACACACACACACACACACACACACACACACACACACACACACACACACACACACACATACACACACAAACTTTTAAGTTTAGAAACATGGGTCATACCTGTCAACCCTCCCGTTTTTTCCGGGATTCTCCCGTATTTTACAGTTTTATCCCGCTATCATCCCACCAAAGGTAGTTTACAAAGGTAGTTTCCCGTATTTTCAGTCTTTCTCTAAAGGTTGGCTCTCTATACGCAACCTATACCGCCGAACCACCAGGGGCCGCCCCTCACTCTTATATGTGAGTCTGTTCTATGCTTTTGCTTTGTTTAGTGATGAAAACACTTTAAAATAAATAGAAAAACGGCAGGATTCCCTTTCCTTTTCATTACAGGTGCTGTCTCCCCTTCATATGCAATCCTCAAAACAGTCTATAGCGATGCATGACTGTCAGCTGACGCGCTCCATAGTGATAAATACACACTGTGTCCTAAACGGATTCTGTATTCGTGATTTGAAGCGGAGAAAAAGTCTGGGTGTTGGGTGCGTGTTTAAACAGATATACACATAACTAATATTAATAATATCTAAAGATGTCGATTTTGGTGGGGGTTTTTTCCAAACACACCTAATTTCGTCCTAAATGAGCATAAAAAGATAGAAAAGTGGTCGAATACTTTCATTATAACGTTGTATTTTTAAAGTGACACCTGTTATTTAATGTAATCCAGCAAAAAAAAAAAAATCTGAATAAATAAGAGATTAATTTGTTGCTCTTTAATCAGAATGTGTAAATTATACAGTGAAGAAACGGCTAATGAGATTTGATAGCTTGATTCTTTTTTTTATTATAACAGCTATTAATTTTAATAAACTGAACTTTTTGCTTATTTATTTGCTGCTAATGTATATATTTATTTTTTCTTTTGTAAATAATAATTGTAAAAAACATATTACTGGCCATTTAATTGTTTATTTACAACGAAACAGCTCCAAGTAAGCTTATTTAGTAATTTGGGGATTTTTTAAAAGAGGGGTCGGGGGAATCCCTTAATATGATGGGCATATCCCTTATTTTCACATCCCAATGTTGACAGGTATGACATGGGTGGAGTTGAAGTCAGAGTTAAATTAAGATTCTCCAGCAATTCCTTGAAGTGTTTTTGTGTGAAGAACCCATTTTTGGCTCTAGAATAACCTTTGACTTCCATAGTATTTTGTTTTTCTTACTTTAAAAGTCAATGGTTACATGTGTCCAGCTTTCGACAAAATATTTCCTTTTGTGTTCAACATTTGTTGAAGGTTGTAAAGGTTGGGAGAAAGCAAAGATTAATTAGTAATTGAACCCTTGTGTGTTGTTTTGAATGTTTTCATTCACACTGAGGTGATTTTGAGGCTTAATTTTTCCAAGACTTTTTCTGTGTTTTCTTATCAGGACACATATTTTAGGAAAGTGCTTTGGAATTTTTCAAAAACTCAGCAATATGCTCTGGGCAAATTCCCTACCCTTTTGTTGTGTAGTTGGTTTTTTGCCCCCATTTACCTCCATTTGACACCATATAATCATTCCATTGCACCATGCATTCTTGATTGTTGCTGGTTTTCCCTGTTGAGAAGAGGTACAACTTGTGATTTTAGTTGTATTTGCAGAGTTGGTCCTGTTTGATCTCACTGATCATTCACAATGTCAAAATCTGAATAAAGGTTAAACTAGTTCAACAGTTGCCATTATGTTTTGTGTTTACATTTTCTGTACACTTCCTAGAAGCTGAAACTGTTGATTAGGGAAAGTGAAGTTAATTGTTAAATCACTAAATTGATCAACTTAAAAAATAAATGACTTTGCTGTCATTCATATTCAAGAAACACTCCACCTTTGTTGAAAATAGGGTTATTTTACCAAGTACCCCAAAGTTAAACAGTTGAGTTTTACCATTTTGAATCCATTCCACTAATCTCCAGGTCTGGCAGGAGCTTTTTTAGCTTAGCTTAGCTTAGCTTAGCTTAGCATAGGTCACTGAATCGGATTAGAACATTAGCATCTCGCTTAAAAGAATGACCTTTCTTATTTAAAGCTTTAAAGCTTGACTCTTCTGCAATAACATCATGTAATGAGACCAGTAGAAAATTGAAAGTTGCCATGTGTACTAAATCCATCAGAAAATAAAAAGTTCTTTGATTATTATGCCAGAATAGTTGCTAGACATATCGACAAAGAAAATGGCAACTTTTTATTTTCTATGGTCTCAGTACATGATGTAACTACAGACGCTTTAATTAAGAAAATTTTTAAAGCCCTTTAGTCAGTTTTAAGTGAGATGCTAATGATCTAATTCAATTCAATAACCTATGCTAAGCTAAGCTAAAAGTGCTCCCGCCGGACATGGAAATCGGCTAAATAGATTCAAAAGTGAAAAAACTTTACTGTTTAATTTTTAAATGAGCCTACGTTTTCATTAAAACTGAATACAAGTAATTTGTCTGAAACTTTAAGTCTGTACTGTGGAGGCCAGTTATATCAACACGCTGTTTGGTATTAGCATTGTATAAAAAAATTGTTCCACAGGAAGATAGTACGTTTGACTGAACGAGTCTTGCATGTGTAATGATGACTAATGTGCTGTTTGATCAGAGCTCAGGATCAGATGTCTATGCAGCTGAGTGAGATGGAGGAAGAGATGGATCACCGAATCCACACCGCAGAGAGAAACACACGTCTGCAGGTAAGCAGACAAACACACAGATCTAACATCAGGTGTGATGTACAGCTAATGTCCAAATTATTAGCCCACAAGCAAATATTTACCGTATGCATTAGCATTTAAGTTGTTTTGCCGTATTTACAGTTGAAGTCAGAATAATTAGCTCTGTATATGTTTTCCCCAGTTTCAAAGTTTTTTTTTAACACATTTCTAAACATTATAGTTTTAATAACTCATTTCGAATAACTGATTTCTTTTATCTTTGTCATGATGACAGCACATAATATTTGACTAGATATTTTTCAAGATACTAGTATTCAGCTTAAAGTGACATTTAAAGGCTTAACTAGATCAATTTGGCAAGTTAGGGTAATTACGCAAGTCTGTATTATGATGGTTTGTTCTGTAGACTATCGAACTGTTTCGATATGTTTAAAGACCTTAAAATGTTTTTTAAAAAATTAAAAACTGCTTTTATTTTAGCTGAAATAAAACAAACAAGACTTTCTCTAGAAGTAAAAATATTATCAGACGTACTGTGAAAATGTCCTTGCTCTGTTAAACATGATTTGGGAAATATTTGAAAATGAGGGTGAATCACTTTGACATCAACTGCATGTTTCAATGAGTACTGTATGGCTAGCAGTATTCAACATTTTTCTAGACCAGGAATATATTTTTAATGATAAATAAATCCAATTTTGTTTTGTAACAATATTCTGCTTAATATTGTGAATTATTTGTATTTTGTGTACTTTAAAAATGCTAGATTGTTGTAATGTTGTGTGAAATATGGAGAAATCCAACCATTGAGTTAAAAATTATATATTAAATTTAATTGACAAAAAATAACACACAACTTTGGCTTTTTACATTTTTGATCCAACAGTGTGTTATGACAAAAAGAAAATACATTTTTAAGTGTTTATTTATTTAAATTTTAAATTTTATATTTTATTATTTGTTTTGTTCTATTTTATTAAATTTCATTTTTTAATAATTTATTTTATTTAAGTTTTTTGTTTTAACGTTTTATTTTAACTTTTTTGTTAACTTTTTATTTACAATTTTTAATTAATGAAATAATTGTTCATGTTTAAAAAAGTTAATTCATTGTATTTTTTTATTTTATTTAATTTTATCATTTTATTTTATGCATTTATTTTTGAGGGGTGATCTAACACCCAATTTGATCACACTTGCATTAAAGTTCTACTTTATTTTTTATTATAGTTTTTCCCTCTTTTATTGTTTAAAGTTTGGTCACTTTATATAATCGATTAACATTAGTTAATGTTAGTTAATGTATATTAGTATTTATTATTTATTATATTATATTTATTTAGTATTTATATTTAATATAAATACTGTAAAGAACTCCATAAACACTGTATAATTCATTGTTTGTTCATTTTAGTATTTACATAAACTCATATTAAATAATTCTGTCATGATTGCCAGCATGCCCTTGCAAATTGCTGGAAAACATTAACTACAGTATTTCCCCAAACTACAATTCTGCCACTGAACTGCACTACATTTCCCATCAGTCACCTCACACACCCACCAGTTCCGGATCACCACTGATTACTTGCACACAGCTGTAGCAAATGAAGACTGATTAGTTGGACTATTTATACACCTCACTTTGACATAGGCCAACATTTTGCTGACTGTTTTTCTGTAAGCATGTCAAAGCGTTATTTCTTGTCCAGCCTTCCCTTGTTTTTGACCCCTGTTTTGTTTTTCCCGCTTGCTACCTGCACCGATCTCCTATCTGCTTTTGGATTGTCTACATGCTCCAGTTTGTACCTGTTTTGACCGTTGCCTGCCTGACTATTCTCTTAAATAAACTGCATGTGGATCCTCGCCTCCGCTGTCACTCCGGCTTCCATGTTACAAATGCAACCTCCTTTTAAAATATATGACCTGGCATTTTATTATCAACTATGTCTTCTTTAATGCATCAAAAAACTGTTCACATAGTTTCACACATGTATGGGAACTACATGATGACATAAGTATAAATAGCGACTGCTGATCTCAAAAGGACTGACATGATTATTAAATATTTCAAAGTCTTTTTACATGTATCTAACATTCAGAAATAGTCGTTTCATCATTGTTTCTATCAAAAATGAAGATGGTAAAAAATAATGTTATGTTACGTGTCACAGTTGTATCGTTTTCATGGATACAGCACCGTCTTTATTGTGAGTTATGATACTGTAAATGAATTGGCACAGGTGTTTCAGATCATGTAAGTGTTTTGGATCTCGTTCAAGGCTTCATTTATCCATGACGTCACATTTTAGTGCAGTCGGTTTTCGGCTGTCCCTCATGTGTTCTTGTTCCTCGCCCTTTGCTTTATCTTAGCCCTGTGTTCCTCGACTTATCATGTTATGTAATGTGAAATGAACTGACTGTTTGTTTAACTGCACCTGTTCAAGTTCCACAAAATAAAAGTCAATTGCGATTGTTTTGTATCTACTAATGCTTTCTGAAAAACATGGTAACATATTATATCGTATACCATAATATACCCATTCCCACTTCTAACTACTGGATTATTACCTATTTTAACCTTATTAAATATTAATGAGCAACAAATTAGGAGTTTATTAAGGTAAAAGTCTTACCTGTTAATGGTTTGTTAATAGTGACGAATGTACCTTACATTTAAAGTATATATTTATTAAAGCTTTATAACTTTATAAAAACAAATTACCTTAAAATAACGTATAACAAAAAACTTTTCTTACTTAAATTGTTGTAATTTTTTATAGAATTTTTTATTTATCTCAGTTGGCTCATTTAATTTCATTAGGTACAATAATACAAACAGAAACAATTACAATATTGAAATAATATATATATATATATTCTGTCTGTATATAATTTTTTTTAGAAATTATTTCAATAAATAAATATTATATATATATATATATATATATATATATATATATATATATATATATATATATATATATATATATATATATATATATATATATATATTTATAAGATATTCTGCAATATCGGAACTTCTACAGCCTGCTCACCCTCCTGTATTACTCCACCCACATAGTGTGACAGCAGGTCTATAATCTGACAGTTTGACAAATATGGCAGCTGTTCATCAACATAATGTATTTTTGAGGCTTTTGGGAAAGAATGTAGTTGTTTAGATTGCAACTATGCAGTTTATTTATACTGATAGTGCCTGTTTTTAATATATTTAAATTTGGAGATACAGCTCCGTTCACAAGATGTGGACAAAGACTGCATGATTTGCCCTTAGAGGAGAAAAATCTTCTTTGGCTTTTTTGGGGTTAATTATTGTGATCACCCAATTTCAACAGAGAAATACTGGGAAATCTCTGTAGACTGATGGCATTTCATGCTGTTCAGCCTTATAATCTTAAAATGTGAGCAAAAACACCTGTTTTGTCATCATTTTAGACATTACACTAGAGAATCATTTAAACTCTAGCTCTAAAGTGACGTTGGCGAATTAGCAACGGTTTCTGCTGTTCTGACGTCAGCTGCAGATGTGTATGAATTGCGAAAGAAAGTAGTTCCTCGTACAAAAGGGTTTTAGACTCTCCGTGTTTGATTTTCCTTTTTATGTACATTATGCTGTCGAACTGATGTATAAACGCAATATCACACGCGTAGCAGTGCAATATGGCTGTATATCGTCACTGGTGGGACACTAAGGCAACGCACGCTTTCCACCAGTGCTGATATTCAGCCATATTGCACTGCTACTCGTATACACACACACACACACACACACACACACACACACACACACATATATATATAGGTAAACTGGGCAGGTTAAGGTAATTAGGCAAGTTATTGTATATATTGTTATATATATACTGAATATATTTAATGCATTAATTCATACAAAATAGATAAATAAATAAATAACACAAACATGATTCTTAGCCTATTACCATCTAATAGCCTATCTAACCGTCTATTATGTTATGAGTTAACCAATAGTTTTTAAATAGTAATTAAAGGGAAGCTTATTCAAATACAAATCTTCCCCTAAATATAATCTCATGTAGATTGGACGGCAGATTGTCCATAACAGGCGCCCATATATCTTAAAACACAGCAGCATCACCCCTGACCACAGCGGTTAGTCTTTTCATAGGCAAGATTTTGAAGATTTCTTGATACCAATAGAAAAGTGATGGGGTTTAGAGTGGTATTTCAATTATTTGTAACCCTTACATATGGCTTCCTTAACTTTTCCCTTCTTTTTTTTTGTTCTACAGGAGTCTAAAAAAGCTGAGGCGACTCTGAGCAGCATGAAACACCAGTATGACTCTCAGATTTGTGAACTCCAGCAGAAGATTCAGACTCTGCAGATGGTGAATTACTTTTACTTGTACAATAAAAAAGAGGTTTAAAAGAGAGTCAATATTCAGTAATATTAGTCAAATGAACATTGTTCGATCGAGATGCATTTGGGATGTTTAGGTGTCTTTATCAAATTAAATGTACAAAAGCGATATGCAAGGAAAGCACACTAAATGCATTAAAGTGTCGGCTGTGAAACTAAAATATGGAATATGAAATATGGATGAACTTTACTTATCGGCCACTTTATTGGGTACACTTGTTCAACTGCTTATTAACGCAAATTTCTATTCAGCCAATCACATGGCTGCAACTTAATGCATTTAGGCGTGTAGACATGGTCAAGACCTGCTGCAGTTCAAACCGAGCATCAGAATGGGGAAGAAAGGTGATTTAAGTGACTTTGAACGTGGCATGATTGTTGGTGCCAGACGGGCCGGTCTGAGTATTTCAGGAACTGCTAATCTGCGGGGATTTTTATGCACAACCATCTCTAGGGTTTACAGAGAATGGTCAAAAAAAGAGAAAATATCCAGTGAGCGGCAGTTCTGTGGGCGCAAATGCCTTGTTGATGCCAGAGGTCAGAGGAGAATGGACAGACTGGTTCCAGCTGATAGAAAGGCAACAGTAACTCAAATAAGCCGAGGTCTGCAGACAAGCATCTTTGAACGCACAACACGTCCAACCTTAAGGCAGATGGGCTACAGCAGCAGAAGACCACACTGGGTGTCACTCCTGTCAGCTAAGAACAGGAAACTGAGGCTACAGTTCACACAGGCTCACAGAAAAAACGTTGTCTGGTCTGATGAGTCTCAATTTCTGCTGTGACATTCAGATGGTCGGGTCAGAATTTGCCGTCAACAACATGAGAGCATGGATCCATCCTGCCTTATATCAATGGTTCAGGCTGCTGGTGGTGGTGTAATGGTGTGGGGGATATTTTCTTGGCACACTTTGGGCCCATTAGTACCAATTGAGCATGGTGTCCATCCCTTTATGACCACAGTGTAACCATCCTATGATGGCTACTTCCAGCAGGATAACACACCATGTCCTAAAGCGTGAATCATCTCAGACTGGTTTCTAGAACATGACAATGAGTTCACTGTACTCAAATGGCCTCCACAATCACCAGATCTCAATCCAATAAAGCACATTTGTAATGTGGTGGAACAGGAGATTTACATCATGTATTTGCAGCCGACAGAAAACAAATCTTATTTTTTTTGTATAGTTTTAGGTACAGAATTCTTCTGAAGAACATTTGTAGTGGTTTAAGAAGGTGTAGATATTTATACAGAAAAATAAGACAAGAACACTGTGTAAGAACAAACTATTTCTTGCAGTGTATATAAGCAGCATATTTTATTAAATGTATATTATATTTTATTAGTTTGTTTGTTTTTTATTTTAGATGGAGAACCAGAACAGGAGCGTGAGCCTGAAAGAGGAAACATCGGCACTTAAACGGCAGAACAACGAGCTCATGCTGGTATGGCTTCTACAGTACTTCAATAGGAACCATCCACACACACTCATTCACACTCACACACTAGGGACAATAGCCTACCCAATTTACCTGTACTACATGTTTTTGGACTGTGGGGGAAACTGAAGCACCCGGAGGAAACCCACGCCAACACGGGTAGAACATGCAAACTCCACACAGAAACGCCAACTGACCCAGCCGATGCTCGAACCAGCAACCTTCTTGCTGTGAAGCGAACGTGCTACCCACTGCGCAGCTCCAGTATAGACAAATACTGTCGTATTATTGGCGAAATTATATAATGTGTGTCATTTTGTTTTACATCTTTATTTCAGCAAAACCAGAAGCTGAAGCAGGAGCTGTTGGAGTCCCACACTAATGTTGCGTTCTTGCAAAGCGAGCTGGACTCTCTGAAGAGTGATCTGACAGACCAGAGCATCAACTGTGAACGGTACAGTGTGTGTGAGTGTGTCACTACGCGAGTCAACTTAGTTAATGATCAATATATAATAGGCCCTTTAGATGTGGATCTTCAAACCAGGAATTTTTAAGAAGTCCATCAAATATGTGTCGTGAGATAACTCAGACTATCTCTTCTGACTCACTCTCACACTCCTGAAGAGATAGATAAATGTCAACAATGAAAAAAGACTCTCGTTTCCCATATGATGGCTGTGAGTGGCTGTAAAAACAGGTTTTGTGGCTGTTTGCAGTGTGATGTCATGAGAGCAGGATATCCTGGTGTTACACGTCACGCTGCGCAGGAATGTCTGAACTTTGTTACATAGTAACTACACAACAGTGTGTGTGTGTGTGTGTGTGTGTGTGTGTGTGTGTGTATGTGTGTGTGTGTGAACATCAGTGGCATAGCAATAGTATAATAAGAGTAACAGTGTAAAATATTTGGGTTGCCATGTAGTCCAAATATTTGACTACATTAAGTTAAATCCACGAAAGTCATTTTGAACAACCAGACCTGAACTGTATTGAAACAGAAAGGGATAGTTCACCAAAATATTTTAATTCTGGCATTATTTACCCACCCTTTACTTGTTCAAACCTTTATGAGTTTCTTTCTTTGAAAAAAATTTGAAGAAAGCTGAAAACCTGTAACCATTGACTTCAATAGTATTTTGTTTTTCCTAGTATGGAAGTTTATGGTTACAGGTTTTCAGCATTTTTCAAAATATCTTCTTTTGTGTTTAACAGTAAAAAGTAACTGTTATACCACTCAAGTAAAGATAACTTTTTGAGTGAACTATCCCTTTAAGACAACTGCTGCAGTTGTTACTGTGTATAATGTAAGTGCACTCTTCATCATTTCTTTTGTTATTGTTTACCTTGAATTCCAGCGAAGTATAAATCCATTCTGGTGTGTGTTTGTACAGAGACGAGGCTCTTATGAAGTGCTTCTCTGAGGAGAGAGATAACCTGGAGAGACAGATCGAGATGCTTCAGTGAGTTCAACACACACAGCACGACATGAAAACACTGCAAATCAACAAAACATAGACAGAAACTTTGCCTTCTGAGGCTGAATATACCTTTACTTTTGTCTTTAAAGGTGCCATTTAATAAAAACCTTAATATACATGCCTGCAGGCACAGGACATAAATGTGACATCATGTTGACATTGTACCCGAACATTTTTGGATTTTGGATGTTGTTTGGAAATGAAAATCGGGTTGAGAACCTAACGTCACACCGACGTCAATGTCCAACCTAAAAACAACCAAATATTAACGTTTAATCATGTTACACCTTGCTGTTGTGTGGACGTTACCACTATGGAATCTATTAGACGTTTTATTTTGGCCACTTTCCAACACAACCTAAAATCAACCAAATATCAACGTAATTTTAAGTCATTATTGGACGTCAAAATAACGTTGTCCTTAGAAGCTGGCTAGACATTGCATTTTGGTCACCTGACGTCATGACTTAAATCTAACCTAATGTTAACGTCTTATAATGTTGTGTGCCTGCTGGGCCTAGGTATAGCTGTATAATAAGAGCTTAGTACATGGAAATGACATACAGTGAGTCATGTGTAACCTCATTCTCATGTGAATGCCTTGAATTTATCACCCCTGTAAAAGTTAGGGCAAATAGAACAAAACACAGGCTTGCTTGGACACAATGCTTCCTAGTGAGATTACAACAATGGGACTCTTATTTTGAAAATGGAAGGCATAGGGAGACTAAAACCCAGTGCGCCTAATCAAAAACCTGGAAAACTGGAATAAAACAGCCTGCATTTGATTGGCCATAATGTTTCAACAATGACCCCCCCCCCCACCCCCTTTATTTTTACCTCTGTGCCTACTCAGAAATCTGTGTCAGATTTGTGTCAGTCTGTGTTTGATTTGACACAATATTTCCTAGTGAGATTACAACAATGATCACCCCCCCCCCTCTTATTTTTAAGTATAGTTAAGCTTATATTAAATTAACTATGTATGTGGGACTCTAATTTTGAAAATGGGAGACACAGAAAGACTAAAGCCCACTGCGCCTAGTCAGAAATCAGACCAATTGAAACAAAACACAGCCTGCGTTTGATTGGATGCAAGTTTTCTAGTGAGATTACAACATTGATTACATCCCCCTTATTTTTAAGTTTATCTAATCATATATGTATATGAGACTCTTATTTTGAAAATAGGAGATGCAGGGAGCCCAGTCAGAAATGAGGCCAATTGGAACAAAACACAGCCTGCGTTTGATTGGACAAAGGTTTCCTAGTGAGATTACAATGACAATTTCTCCTCTTATTTTTACGTTTATCTAAGCATATATTAAACTTACTATGTATATTGGACTCTTATTTTGAAAATGGGAGATGCAGGCAGACTAAAGCCTGCTGCGCTTAGTCAAAAACTAGGCCAACTGGAATTAAACATAGCCTGCGCTTTACTGGACACAATGTTTCCTATGAATTTACAACAATTATCATTTCCACCCTTATTTTTAAGTTTATCTATATTTAACTTACCAGCTACACGGGACTCTTATTTTGAAAATTGGAGACGCAGGGACCCTCTGTTTACAGCACCTCAGAGCATAAAATACAACACATACGGACTGTGTATTTATTTAGCGCCACCCCTTCGAGCCATACGGTCTGATTAAATGTATTTTTAACACTTTAACGTGTATATTGTGAAATTAGCCACGTCTGTTTGTAGTGAGGCAACAAACACATGTAGACCACTGAAAATAAGCATTAGTTTAAGGCATGTTTATGCATCATGTCATATCACTAAGCGTTTTCTATTATTTCCATTGAGTTAAAGGCTGCCAATTCCCTTTTTCAAACTTATTTGTTTCTGCAAAGGTTGAAATTAATTCCTGCTTATGTTTTCTTACACATTAAAGTCTCAAAATACATTCCGGTAGGCCCCTTTTCTTAATTATAATTTAGTCATATTTCATCTACTATACACACCTAAGGAGAAAAATAGGGATTTCTGTTGGCGTAAATCATAAGTACAGCTCATTAATATTCATGACCCTTCCAAATAAGGTCAAAATGGACATTCTGATCTCATTCCTATGTTCATAAATTAGCAAAAACAATTAGAACATAATTTTATTACTGTTCTCTATGGCACCTGTTGAGGGTTTTTCACCCAAAAATGCTAATTCTGTAAATACTGCCATTTCAAACACCAGAGGAATTTCACAAGAACCAAAGTTTAACAAATAATTTGAAATGCATGTAAGATGTGCAGAATAAGGTGGATAGTTTTGGATTGTTGCTGTTATAGATTTTTAAATGTTTATTTTCTCCATATCTAGGGTAGCAAACAGAAAGCTGCACGACAGTAATGACAGTCTGCGTACGGCGCTGGAGAGCAGTCAGAGCAAGAGCAAGACTCAGGTAAAACCTTTCTGCAGTGTGAATGGATTAAGCTCTTTGAGACCAATGTTTGCTGATCAGGCGAATACTTTGATGTCTATGTGTGTTCTTTAAGGGGCATGGATTAAGCTTCTTGTTAGCTGTGTTAACATGTGATACATTTCTGCGTATCCATTAAGACAGGCCTGACATTTTTTCTCTCACAGCGTGTTAGCGGACTCTCACCTGGAGTTTACGTGAACACCAGAAAGAATGTCTGCCACTCTTATTTTGATCGGTAAGTCATGTGACTGCTGTTATTGAACATTTTACAGCACCCCTAGAGTTAAACAGCAGAGTTTTACCATATTTAATCCATTTAGCTGATCTCAGGGTCTGGCGGGAGCACTTTTAGCTTAGGTTAGCATAGATGAACGGATTAGACCATTAGCATCTCACTTAAAAATGACCAAAGACTTTGTTCAAAAGTGTTTTGTTATACTTTTACAAGTAAATACCAAACGTATACAATTCTCGCTACTAATAAATCATTAACTAATACTTTAAGATTAATAAACTTCTTATTTGCTGTTTATTAATAGTCCCTACTGAAAAAAACAGCTTAAACCAGCCTAGGCTGGTTGGCTGGTTTTATCTGGTCGACCAGGCTGGTTTTAGAGGGGTTTGGGCCTTTTCCAGGCTGGTTTCCAGCTATTTCCAACCTGGTCTTAGCTGGTCACGTTGGGGGATGACCAGCTAAAACCACCTTGACCAGCCTAGCCAGGCTGGAAGCCCAGCCAAAACCAGCTATGCCCAGCTTAAACTAGGCTGGTCAAGCTGGTTTAAGCTGGAATTAGCTGGTCATATTCCAGCCTGACCAGCTAAGACCAGGCTGGAAATGGCTGGAAACCAGCCGGGAAATGGCCAAAACCCCTCTAAAGCCAGGCTGGTCAACCTGCTAAAACCAGCCAATCAGCCTAGGCTGGTTTAAGGTGGATTTTTCAGCAGGGTTCTTAAGGTAAATTTGCTTTATTTAAAAAAGTGAGTAAACTTGTTGCCTTAAGCAGGTCGCACACCAGAAGCGCCGCTCGGCGGCGCACCGCGCCATGCATTTTAGAATTCTAAACATAGGTTTCTATCAGGATACACACACCGGCGCCGCAAGTCGGCGGCTGTCGGCGGCTGTCGGCGGCGCCCGGCGACGGCTCAAGACGCAGTTCATTTTTCAGCCGCGCCATAGAGCGCCATCTGATTAGTTTCATGTTAAATATCATTCGAATGTGCGCGTCTGGTGTGTGATACTTTAAACTGTCATGTGCGCACCGTGTCGCGGCGCCGAGCGGCGCTTCTGGTGTGCGACCTGCTTTAAAAGCTTAAAGCCGTAAACCTGGAACTTAAGTTGATTAACATAGCTCATTTACTTAAAAAATTTGAAGGCAACTGGTTTACTCACTTTAAGTAAACTCATTTATTTTAAGTCAAATCATTTAATCCTTTTAAAAGCAACATATTTACTTACCTATGTTGAGTAAATTCAACTAATCCTTTTAATAGCAACAAATTTACTCATTTATTTTAAAATTAACCAATCGCTTTAAAAGCAACATGTTTACTCATTTATTGTAAGTAAAGTCAGCTCATCGTTTTAAAAGCAACAGATTACTCATTTATTTTAATTAAAGTCAACTAATCGCTTTTAAAGCAACAGATTACTCATTTATTTTAAGTACAATCATCTAATCGTTTTAAAAGCAACAGATTACTCATTTATTTTAAGTACAATCATCTAATCACTTTAAAAGCAACAGATTTACTTATTTATTTTAATTAAAGTCAACTAATCGCTTTTAAAGCAACAGATTACTCATTTATTTTAAGTACAATCATCTAATCGTTTTAAAAGCAACAGATTACTCATTTATTTTAAGTACAATCATCTAATCGCTTTAAAAGCAACCGATTTACTTATTTATTTTAAGTAAAGTCAACTAATCGCTTTTAAAGCAACAGATTTACTCATTTATTTTAAGTAAAGTCAACTAATCATTTTAAAAGCAACAAATTTACGAAACTATTTTAAGCAAAGTAAATTAATCGTTTTAAAAGCAACAGGTTTACTCATTTATTTTAAGTAAAGTCAACTAATCTCTTTAAAAACAACAGATTTATTCAACTATTTTAAGTAAAGTCAGCTTATTGCTTTTGAGGCAGCAGGTTTACTCACTTTTAAACTAGTGGCTATTTACAGTGCATTTTGTGAATGTAGTTTTGAGTAAGAGTGATGTCTGCAGGTGCTGCAACACGTGTGTGGATGAGGAAGACTACGATCAATTTCGGCTGATGGCGGGAATGCGCAGACAGAGCTGTGATTCTCTGGCTCTGGCTTTGTGTGACCCGATGCGCAGACGCAGCTGCGAGGAGGACAGTCTCCCAGACAGCGGCATGTCTACCCTGCGCTCCAATATCGGATATGATTATGAGCATGAGAGAACATCCAGTCCTGTGGAGGCAGAAGACAGCAACACCACAGTGTCTGGAGACACGTCTGATACTGAGGTATGATGATCTCATTAAAGTGATACTTACTTACTCCAAGGGCCGTTTATATTGAAGTTGATATTTTGCCGTACCATGTTGGTGTTTCATAACATCGAATTTTTACAAGGTGGGTCATTAGCCTAACGCTCAACCCCCAACCTGGAGGACCAGGACATCCCATTCACACACAAACACCACGGACAATTAAGCTTACCCAGTTCACCTATAGCGCATGTCTTTGGATTTGTGGGGAAGACCAGAGCTCCCAAAGGAAACCCATGCCAACACGGGGAGAACATGCAAAGTCCACACAGAATTGCCAATTGACCCAGCCGAGGCTCGAACCGGCGACCTTCTTCCTGTGGGGGCCACCTCTATCTAGCCGTAGTGTATGAGTGTGGGTGAATGTAAGCATGTATGGGTGTTTCGCAGTACTGGGTTGCAGCTGGAAGGGCATCCGCTGCACATATGCTGGAGTAGTCGATTCAATCTGCTGTGGTGACATCTGAAATAGAGACTAAAGCCGAAAGAAAATGAATGAATGAATTAATGAAAAGTTGCATCAATATAAACAGCGCCCTCTAGTGGATTTGTCATCTGAAACGTGTGAATAAATATCCCAGAAGCAACGTATTTTACATATTACAAAAATGTAGGCTGAGGCATGTATTTGGTCTCCTGTTATATAATAACTTTTGTGTGATCACAGGTTGTGGAAATGCGAGAAGAGGCTGCGTCAGGGTCGGACAGCGAATCCGTTCAGAGCTGGATGCCATCAAAGCCTGTTCAGACGGATGACGTTTCTGCTTCAGGGAAGAAATGCCTTTCTGCTATTTTCACAGAGGTATGAGATTCACCTGACAAAAAGTGTCTTAAAGGGGATCTGTTATGAAAAAAAATCACTTTTATACAGGGTTTAACACCGCTTTGTGGCAACAGTGTGTGAATATAGCCAGCCTCTAATGAGAACAATTAACTTTTTTATAAGCACACTTCATAAACACAGTCTGCAGAAACACTTAGATTGACATTCTCCTTTTGTACATGATATCAAAGGGGAAAGCCCCGCCCACTAGTGATGATTTCCTTCATTACCATAGACAGCCCTGAGTGAGAAGCAGCCATCCGCTATTGGAGTTTCCAAGCCATAAGCATGAGCCAAAGACTGCAAACTCCGAATCTCTTTACGTCCATAATTTTCGCTTCAAGAGTTCACACTTAGCTGATGATTGATTATCAAGCTTGTTTGGCATGCTGTCCCGGGAGAGAGCTCTGAGCTCATAAGATCCTCGAGCCGGGGGCTCCCTCCTGTTTGCAAGGCGAGAGGGAAGTTTGAGCTCAGGTAGATCTCGAGAACTCCGCTGCTGTAGTAGCTAATGAACAGATATTGATTGCTCTTAAAGATAATTACTTACTAGGAGCATGTCTATGGTGCCGATTTGGATTAGTCAATTAACTTAAGTTGGATGTTTTTGGACGGTGGGAGGAAACCGGGGAACCCGGGGTAAACCCACGTGAGCCCGGGGAGAACATGTAAACTCCACACAGAAACATCAGCTGCCTTGGTAAGGACTAAAACCAGTGACGTTCTTGCTGTGAGGCACCAGTGCTAAACACTGGGCCCCCGTGCCACCCATCTAGGAAAGGAGGAGGAGTAGGGGTGGAAGGGGGGATTCTTCAAAACGAAGATGGCTATGATGTGGAACTTAGGGTATTTATAGAGGCTTAGGGATCATGTGATTGGTGAATCATAAATTGGATAATGAGGGACCAGCTGCAAGCAGTCATAAGCAAATCAAGAAATAAGTTTATAAATAAAGTTCACATGTTAAATATTAAATTCGATCATACTGACAAAACTTTAGTCTGTAATAAATTTGTTTAAAATCGGGTTTGATTATTTTAGTTGTTTGCATCCGAAAAATCGTTTGAGAGGTGTTTTGACAGTTCAGAGCCATCGTACAAGTGAAAGGCAAAATTCAGAATGCCGTCACTTGACCAGCACAGATCACTTTGGGCTCTATTTTAATGATCTAGGCACAAAGTCTAAAGCGCAGGGCGCAAAAGCATTAAGGGCATGTCTGAATCCACTTTTGCTATTTTAAGGATGGAAAAAAACGATTTGCGCCCTGGTGCATGGTCTAACTGGGTTGTGCTTATTCTCTTAATGAGTTCTGGGTGTGTTTTGAGCATAGCGTACATTAAACCAGTCTCATCTGCCATTCCCTTTAAGAGTCAGTTGCGTCACGCCACAGCGGATTTGCTAACAACATGGCAGACTATGTAAGTGGAAACACTGTATGCTTCACTAGTGAGAAAACAGTTAAACAGATCATCTACAGCACGAGGACAAAGAACGAGCCTCCTCCATTCAGCCTCTTTACTTTTACTCTTTACTTTACTCCTTTACTTTCATGGATAAGAAAACAGTGTTGTACTCACTCCACTAAAGACATCCATTAACATACATATTCAATTTAATTTGTTAAGTGCAAAGATTTGTTTCAAAACTATTCCTAAATTCAGTTTTAATTTATAGCAAACAAATAAATAAACAATAATAACGAAGTGTGGTCAAAAAACTGAGTTATATCCAAACACACATACTATTCTTATGCCCCATATGATGATGCAGACGTCTCCAAAACCCAACAGGTGGACAAATCTTAACTTGCTTTGATGAAAGCAAATAGAAATATACATATAATAAATAATACTGCTAATAATATTAATATATAATATTATATACAAATTGTCATGAATAAACTGAAAAAAGCCCCCCGACATAATATTTGTGTATTGCTGAACATCCTGTGTGTATTAAGCAATGTGTAAACAATTGGAGCTGCATAGGCACATAACTATCGCACTCTGCGCTTGACCTTAGACCAGCTTTTAGTTGGTCAATGGCCCAGTCTATTTAAGTTCCTCAAAATAGCAACGCACCAACAATGTGCCTTAACACACCTCCTTCCTAGACCGGCATGCCCAAGATTCCACAAAGTGCCACAAATAGATGTGCTATTTAAAAAACATGGCGCAAAATGTGAAAATTAGGGTTGCGCCGGTCTGAAAATAGCAACAAATTGCGCCAAACACGTCTTGTGCCTTATTACGCCGGGTGTATGATATGGCCCTTCATAAAAAAACGCAGCGGATAAATTCATATAAAAAGAGAATTTAGCAGACGAAAAAATGTGAAATACGAAGAAAAAAAAAACCCTCAAACAAATATTTCGGAATTCAGTGTGCAAAGACCTTAAGAGTCTTTACAAATGTGGAGTTTTAGGATGCACAAAAAACTCTGTAGTCTCTATAGTTAACCTTCCTCTGAGCCACTTCTTTTGATATTTTTAGCTCCACCCCCTTTAAAAAAAGGCTCAATCTCATTTGCATTTAAAGCGACAATCACCAAAACAGCACAATTAGGACCAAAGCCTAAAAGGGGGCAGCTTCAAAGAGATATAAAACATCATTTGTGTGGGATTTCAAGCTGAAACTTCACTGACATCAGAGACTTATTTTACATCTTATAAAAATGGGCATAATAGGGCCACTTTAAATCTGACCCACTCCATTCGCAATCCCGAAAAAACAAATGGCAGTGCTGAAACTGGAGTGTAAAGCCGAGCTGTGTGTGTGCAGAGAGAGCAGGATGAGCTGGCCGTGTCTCAGTCTCCATCTGAGAAGGCTTACAGGATCGTGCTGGCAGGAGACGCTGCAGTGGGAAAGTCCAGCTTTCTTCTCCGTCTCTGTAAGAATGAGTTCAAAGGCAACACCAGCGCCACACTGGGTGAGACTTTTAAAACACCTGAAGATAATCTCCAACTGGCACAGAGATTACATGACGGTCATTTGTGTGCGTGTGTTTGCCATAGGTGTTGATTTCCAGATGAAAACTCTGGTTGTGGATGGCGTTCCAACAGTGCTGCAGTTATGGGACACGGCTGGACAGGAAAGGTAATTTTGATTTATTATTTTATTATTTATTATTATTATTATTTATATATAATTTATTTATTTATTTGACATGGACATCACAATTACACTGGACAACCAAATGCATTTGTTTAAGTGTTTTAGCAAACTTGCTAATTCTCAACACCTGTCCACAGGGGGCTTGAAAAGATTGGTAAAAATGTAAATATAATAAATACATATACACAACAGTATATTTCTTTACATAACATTACTGAAGGCAAAAGCAAAGGCAACATGATCCAATAAACTAAGAGTAGACTATTAGTGCAAACACTGCTGTATTGTTTTAACAGTATAAACACTACTAAAAATATTTATTTTACTTTCTGATTTTAGGCTAACAGGTAAATCAGTCCACAGTTTGGCTCCCTTTACAGAGAAGACAGATTGACCAAAGGAGGTCTTACACTTTGGCACTAGACAGTCATCATTAGCAGTTAATAAACAGATCATTAACATTTAAAAACCAATTTAAGATAATTAAATTTATTATAAAACTATCAAAACTAAAAAGGTTATGTTTACAAAAAACTTCACAGTGATGCCATCGCATAGGCTTTGAGTCCATCATTTTAACTGCTTGTTTATATAATGAGTCAATAGACTAAGATGTAATGCAAAACGTCAAGTGAGAGAATATCATTGTGTGCATGTATAACTTTGCAGTTTGATATTTTAAAAAGCCTTCTAATAAAACGAAAACAGTTTAGACTTGGCTTAGCTTTCTTACTTATATTTTTAACATGACTATCAAATTTTTTATTAATGTCTAGAGTAATGCCAAGATACTTAAATTCATTCACTTTTTAAATAAAGTTATTTTTGATCAGCTTAAAAATGTATCCCGTAAAGTCACTGCGTAGATTAAAGTTCTGTGAAAACAAATTAAGATGCAGAGAAATGGCATTGTTTTATTGTACAAATATACAGTTGAAGTCAGAATTATTATTTTCAGCACATTTCTAATCATATTAGTTTTAATAACTCATCTCTAATAACTGATTTATTTGATCTTTGCCATATGATGACAGTACATAATATTTGACTAGATATTTTTCACTACATTTCTATACAGCTTAAAGTGACATTTAAAGGCTTAACTAGGTTAATTAGGCAAGTTAGATTAATTAGGCAATTCACTGTATATTGATGGTTTGTTCTATAGAAAACCGAAAAATAAATATTGCTTAAGGAAGCTAATAATATTGACCTTACAATGGTTTTTAAAAAATTAAAAAACTGCTTTAATTCTAGCTGAAATAAAATGTACAAGACTTTCAAGACAAAATATTTTAGGAAATACTGTGAAAAATTACCTGGTCTCTTAAACATCATTTAGGAAATATTTAAAAAAGAAAACAAAAAAATCACAGGAGGGCGAATAATTTGATTCAACTGTATATTGCAGACAAATTCGATTTTTTAACTGAAGTTTACATTTATCAAGCATCATTAATGAATGACAAAATATTTATAAAATATTGCATCATTCCTTTGACATGTCATGTTTTGATACATATGATGTCTAGGTTTTCTTAAGTAGTCATTTCATTAATAAAGCTAAAAGCCTTTGTATCTAAATTGAAATAATTATATTATTGTTTTATTTCTAGTGAGATTTATCTGGATTTTAAGTTAGGTAATTACTTTTCAGAATAATTCATCAGAAATGTTTTTTAAAATACAATTCTAATGATGTAATTAGTAATTCATGACTTGTTTTAAATAATTTACTCAACACTGCTCATAACTATGGCAAGGCAGAATCTGTGGATATTTTTTGCTATTTCTGCAGAGAATTTTGTAAAAAAATCTGCGGATTTATGCGGAATGATTTAGGGAGTATCATACTGTAACAAAAAAATTGATCTATGAAATACAAAATAATTACTTGTATTTAATGTTTACAATGCAAATCCATCCAGATCCACTTATTTGGTAAACAAAGCAAGTCTATTATATATGTATACTAAAAGACAGAAAATATAACTTTTGAAATATGAAAATATGATTCCATCCCCACCTGCTGGTGAAAGAGCAGCTGGCAATCTTCAATCTGCAATCTATTGCTTTTCCTGCAGTTCCCGGATGTAATGTTGAATTTTAACAGTCGACTTTAAACCACTGAATTTATGGAAGCGAATATTTGAACTGAAATAAAATGAACTGAAAATTGCCTTTTGAATATTATACATCGTATTTTTAAAGAGTATTGAATATGTTGTAAGTGAAATCTGAAAATTGAAAATGAGTTATTGAATTTTCAAGTATGAAAACGTGTTTGAAATATTTTTTCATTGAAATATTCACAGCTTAAATAAACAGCTATGTTAAACTTCAGGACCTAAAAATACCAACCCTGGAATTCAAGTCATTAAAATGCAAGAACTTGTTAATATGGTGTATTATATTTTTCAGTTTGTGCTATTCAACAAGCTTTTTAATTCAATAGTTTTGGCATTGATTTTGTTCCATAGACTTGACAGTTTGTCAAGTCTATGGAACAAAATCAATGCCAAAACTATGGGTTGGGGATGGAAGGGCATCCACTGCGTAAAACATATGCTGGATAAGTTGGCAGTTCATTCCGTTGTGGCGACCCCAGATTAATAAAGGGATTAAGCCGAAAACAAAATGAATGAATGAATTTTAAACTGAAGTACACTATGAGCTAAATGTTGGACACTCTGTTGTCTTTTTGCAGGTTTCGGAGCATTGCTAAGTCATACTTCAGGAGAGCGGATGGAGTTCTTCTGCTGTACGACGTCACCTGTGAGAAGAGCTTTCTGAATGTGCGAGAATGGGTCGACATCATCGAGGTATGTCCTCCACAGCGTCTCATTTAAATAATGGCTATCATAGTAATAATATGTAAGGGATGAGGGTTTTTCGGGAATACTTCATTCTGATTAGTCAATCACGACATTCCAAGGTATGTTTTTTCGTGATAACAGCCACCGAAGCTACTTTGATTTATATTTATCATCATAGTATACTAACTTCGAACCATCCTATTTACCATTGGGGCGGCACGGTGGCTCAGTGGTTAGCACTGTCACCAAGCGTCCCAGCTGGGCCATTTGGCATTTCTGTATAGAGTTTGCTTGTTCTCCCCGTGTTGGCGCGGGTTTGCTCTAAGTGATATATATATATATATATATATATATATATATATATATATATATATATATATATATATATATATATATATATATATATATATTGTAATCAGTCAATGAAGTTACCATAAATGGTTTCTCGTGCACCCAATAAAGTAAAGGGTTACATCCGTACATCATCTGGTTGCTGGGTTGGCTTAAAACGCTGCTGTGATTGTTCTCTGATGCAGGATGTTTCTCAGGATGACATTCCCATCATGCTAGTGGGCAATAAGACAGATCTGAGGAAGGAGGCTCTTCAGGACGGAGTCACCTGCATTCCAACCAGCTATGGAGAGAAACTGGCCATGGTTTGTGTGTTTCTCTGACATTTAGTCTTGCTTTCAGCTTTTAACAGGGACTCGAAAATGAAAAGTGTCTTCGTCTTACTCTCATGCACACCACGTGACTTTGATTCTCTCTGGAATCACGAACAGAGGAACTTTGAGCTTCAAAACAGTCATCAAAGCAGCGCAGCAGCAGTCTGTGCAGCTGAATCTCGATATTCTGAAATCTTTTTTTTGTCACTCAAAACTCTCGCATGCCTCAGAAGATTGGACTCTTTGAATTTAAAATGAGGATATTTTTTCAAGCAGTGGCCTAGATTTTATTAAAAAAAGCACAACAGTGGCTCAGTGGTTCGCACTCACAGCAAGAAGGTCACTGGTTTGAGTCTCAGCTGGGTCAGTTGGCATTTGTGTGGAGTTTGTATGTTCTCCCTGTCTTGGTGTGGGTTTTCTCCGGGTGCTCCGGTTTCTCCAGTCCAAACACATGTGCTATTGGGGAATTGAATAAACTAAATTGGCCATAGTGTATGAGTGGGTGTGGGTGAATGTGAGAGTATGGGTGCTGCTTCCTAGTTCTGGGTTGCAGCTGGAAAAGCTTCCACTGTGCAAAACATATGCTGGAGTAGTTGGTGGTTCATTCCTGTGGTGACCTCTTAAAAAACAAAGACTAAGCTGAAATAAAATGAATGAATGAATGTTTTATTTGTTGCCATGTTTTTTTTTATTTTAATTTCATTGTATGTTGATATTCATTCATTCTCTTTTTGCCTTCGTCCCTTTAACAATGTTGGAATATCTAGCCAATTCCATGCGTTTTCAATAAGAAAAAAATGCAAAAAATATTAGTAATTTATTAGATACAAATGAATAATTCGATGACAGAGAGGAATTACATACAAGAGGTTCGCAACTATTTTACATTTTCTGACTCCATCCTAAATACACAACCGATAGTCCTTTGGCTCTGTAGTGGCTTTCCAATTGCCGCTATTGTTGGTAGAGCAAGCAAGTTTCGTACGCGTAAAGTCAGAGTCCGTAGGCAAATAAAAACGTCTTTATTTTCCAATCAACTTTCAATCAACAGAATTACTCAATCACTTTCCTTAATCTATACTTTTCCTACTTAGATTTTTTGTCTTGTTTCTAGTCCAAATATCTGAAAGTTCTTAAATCAAGAAGCATTTTCTAGACAAGCAAAACATATTGTCTTGTTTTAAGAAATAATATGCCAAAATGGGTTTTCCTTAAATCAAGCTAAATAATCTGCCAATGGGGTAAGCAAAATAATCTTAACACAAATCGAAAAACAAGATTATCCATTTACTATGACCATTTATGTGAAGCTGCTTTGACACAATATGCATTGTAAAAGTGCTAAACAAATAAAGCTGAATTGAATTTAATTAAATGTTCATTTTTAGGTGAAAACAATCCATTTAAACCTTTAAACTCCTTCCCTTGGCTAATAGTTTTTTTTTTTTTTTTTTTTTTGCATAAATGCTAAACTGTGTCTCTTCTATATATTCAGACATACAGTGCCTTATTCTGTGAGACGAGTGCAAAAGATGGATCCAACATCATTGAAGCTGTTCTTCATTTAGCCCGGTAAGTCCTGCTCCTGAATAAAAAACATATTAGTATAGTCAATAATTGTGATGATTAGCAAAAACAATGTGCTATAGGCAGAGGATGAGTGTACGCTCTTCATAGAATGGATGTGAATTTAAACGAAGTTCACACACACAAAAAACAAAACATTTTTCATTTGTTGAACAGTTTACAGCAGTGCTTCTTAAACTGTGGTATGTGTACCACTAGTGGTACGCATGCTTTCTTCTAGTGGTACAGGGAGCAATCGCTGAATAATTAAAGTAAAAAATAAATGAACACAATTTTAACCCTTTAACGTGTTCGATAACATCGATGTGATCTGTAAATTGATTTTAATAGGCTAAACCTTTTATTTTATTTTCAATATTGTTATGTATTCAATTATTTGAAGCTAATTTCCTCCCCGTATTTGTAACGGTTGTTGGGGGCATATCCTGTATTAATATATCCCAATGTTGACATGTGTAGTTTAATCACTTGCTTTTCTGACACACAAAGCCTACTCTAACGCACAATAAGCAGATCTAATTTCTAATTACAATTTTTCTATCCAATTCGAACATTTAAAATACACGTTAATGATTTTAAAGATAATTTATAAAAAAAAAAAAAATAATGAATATGATGACATAGTCTATATTTATGAGGTCCAAGCAACATTTCAGGTGTTTTGATGAATAGGCTACTTTATGATAATACCTTACATTTAAGTACAGCAGTTTTCTTTTTTACTTTTTGAGAACAGTGCCATTTTTAATTAACTTTTAAAGCACGTTTTAATTTAAATGTTTACATTTTGTTTATTTTTTTTACCTGAAAGCACAGTACAGCGTTAATGCTAAAACTATTTAGAATGGTTAAAGTGGCTGACAATGATAAATATTTATAATAATAATAATAAGTAATCTGGCTTGTTTTGAACTGTGCACAGCTTTAGCCGCTTAATAAGGCCTAATACGCAACTGTATTTCAATACCGGTCGTTATGGTGGTACGTGAAGAGACGATTATTATCTGAGGTGGTACTTATAGTGAAAAAAGTTTGAGAACCACTGGGTTTACAGTATTCCACAGAAAGACAATAAATTGTCTTATAGCTGCTTGTTCATGTTACTTATTAAAATGAGCTGAAACAACACAATTCTTGAGATTTTGGAGAGAACCAATTAATTGCTTAATTGTTCAACCCCCTTAAATTTGTAAAAAAATAAAAAATAAAAAATGTGGCTCTGTTAAATAGCACTTCTGGGGGGAAAGAAATAAAATTTGCACAGATTTTGTCACAGATTTTATATGCAAACAGAATCATTTGTAATAATAAGACAAGGCACAAGAGGGCAGCAGAGTCATAGCTCTTGGGTTATTTTCACTCCCTGTTTCCTCTCTCTTTTTTCCTTGTACGTTAAAGAGAGGTGACCAAACACGCCGACGATTACAAAGAGCCTGTGTCAGTGGCCAAACTGTCTGGAAATCATACCAAGAAGATGTCCAGTCCAAACTGCTGCATGGGCTGATGGATAAACCCGTCGACTTCCACACACTGATCAAGTATTTAACCGTTCAACTATTTATTCAGCGCGTCATGAAGGAAAACCAAGTTGGAGAATTTTTACCGTGGTAATAACTTAAGAGGTAAAGTTGGTTTTATATTCGCACATTCGTTAGCAGTCTCTATTGTGTTTACCTTGTTAACGTTACTTTGAATATTCGATCGGAATTAGCATGCTAGTATGACTTCTAAACAACATTGACACTGTCTAATTCACTGTGAACAATGTTGTACTTTGATAGTCACTGGCTGCTTATATGATTTCCCTGTTTAGAATTTGCAAAGAGTACTTTTCTGAAATTATATTATTAAGGAGAATGTCTGAATATCCGAATATAAAACCAACTTTACCTCCATTGCTAAATATCTTCAAGTATTGTCTTCAGGATTTTATGAAAATCTTTGCCTTAAATAGCCCTTATAACTTTTATACCGCAGCTGATTATTAGCCCAGAGTTTACTGTGCTGCACCTTACTATTTATTGTGTGTAAAACGAAGAGAATGTTGTCGTAGTTCTGTAATAGATCTACTGTATGAAGTGTGTGTTACTGTATGAAGTGTGTGTTTTGTAAGTTTAGATAATGTGAGCTCATTTCTGCCCTTAAAAAGTGTGAGTTTACATCTTACGTTTCTGATTTGTTTTGTCTCAATTCAGATTTTTGTCTCACTAGTTCAGATTCTTTTTTTTTACTTATAGTTCTGTTTATATCTTGCAATTTCCTTTTTCTTGTAATTCTTTGTTTATATCTCAGTTCTGTCTGCTTCTGTGAGGTTTTCCTCTTATATATGACCGCTTGCTCAGAACAACAAACTGAGCGTCATTTAAAACACTATAGACTGATTTTCTGCGGCCGCCATTTTAAACAGCGAAACCGAGGCTGCGGTGGGAAGAAACCCGGAAGTATCGCTCGAGTCACAGAGGAATGTTGTGTACCTGGCTGTATATCTTAACAGCGAAGAGAAATGGACACCAATTTATAATTTCACCGCCTTCCGAGTGACCCGAAGGTCTGTTCTGAATATGTAGCGAAAATAAGAAAAAGGATATCCAACCTTATTTTTAGCTAAGGAAAATGGCACTAGTTAGCTAACATTTTCTTTCCCAAACACACAATTTAGATGCCTTATATTAAACTTAAGTTAATGAACTGATTCCTTTACCATATTAGGCTTGTCTTGATACAAAATTTTTGTACTGAAATGTAAAAAAAAAAAAAAAAAAATGTCAGCTGCGTCCCAAATGGCACACTATGCACTCATGCACTATGTACTTATGCACTTACACACTCAACAGGATAGTATATGTATGTAGTGTTGTCCCAAATGGCATGCTAATGTTTTTTTACTAAGTGGAAATTTAAACCGTTTCCCTGACGGTTTGACGGTTGCCAAATAAGTGAAATAAACGACCGAATTATCAAATAATACCTGCCGTGAGGATTGCCGCATTCACCATCGTGAGGCGCTGTAATCACTCTCGTAGGAGAATTTTGCTTTCACCATCCAAAATAAATAAAGTTATTCAACATGTGCGTTCGATAGCTCCGCCCCTTCCGCTACGTAAACAAACCTGCGGTCGTTGAGTGCGTGAAGTGTCCATCATTACACACTTAATTTTAGCGGCTGAATGAGTGCATCATCCGGGTAATTAAAGTGCACTTATTATTTTTTAGAGTTTTCAGTGTGAACGCACTACTTACACTATTTATATTACAAAATGGCGTAGAATAGTGCACAAGTATGCGATTTGGGACACAGCAGTCAATTTCCCGTTAACATTTGAGCCCTGTTGATGGCATTCTTAAACAGGGCTGATTTGCCATTGTGTTCATGCGCTCAACAGAAATGACTGTGATTGGCTGAGAAGGTCATCAGTTCAACCACCGCTGTTTACCGAGTGCAAATCGGTAAAAAAACACAGATGAGCGATCCGCTGATGAATCGACTGATCTTCACAGCTTTAAAACGCTCCAATGTCCGTCTATCTGTGTAATCCGTGAAGAGCGGTATACTGATGACCTTCACAGCCCATCACAGTCATTTCTGTTGAGCACTGGTGAATACTATGCCAAATCAGCGCATTTTATGAGCGCTTAAATGTTAGCTGGAAATGGACATTTTGAAAACTTCAGTACCGGGACAACACTATTACACAGACAACACGAGGATGTGCTACAGAGCACTGCAGGGTTTTATTACTCTCAGGGTTACATAGGCTGAAGCAGGGAAGGGTCCCCACTGTGTTTACCTGCTGCCATGAACGGAAGCCTTGGAGGACACTTGAGCGTATTCCCCTTAAAGAGATTGTGATGTAGTTTGATGCCTAATGTGATTTTAATTGTTTAAATTAAATTGAACTGAATTATATTAAAGCGATGTTTACACCACGTCTGCATTTTGAAGTCTCGGCAACAGCTGGAGGTTTGTAGTTCACAGCATGTGCTGATGCTATACTTCCAGGTTTCTTCCCACCGCAGCCTCGCTTTCGTGTTTTAAAATGGCTGCCGCGTGAAATAAGCGTATTACCTGTTTTGCACTGGCTATTCAGGTTCTGTTCACTAAAGTATACATAATTCGCGCACATGCACACGTCCTCTCAATAGTAAATAAACAGTGCATCAGCTCAGGTGTAATTTAGCGGCCATGAAAACATCATTACATTAAGACAGAAATGACGTTTTTGGCTGAATTATACCTTATGAATACAGTATGTGATACTTTTAACAGCATTCGGAGTTGTCCACGTTGCTCAGTAACGTATATAAAACAACGTAAAGCATGGTTTCCTCTATATTTATTCTTCCATGGCGGGGCGCTATGCCAAAACTGATCCCGCCACAGCTACATTACAGCTTCTCATTCAAAACATTGTCGTGTTTTTTTTAATCGCGGGTGATAATCGCACCGAAACGTATTTAAAAGTAAGTGAATTATAACAGCGCAAACTTTTCTGTAACTGTAGTAGTGCTGTGCGCTGTTTGTTTAACTCTTTAAGGCTACGTGCTGACTGACAGGTGCGTGAGAGGCCAGCAAACACGACGTAAAGCCGTTTCAATTTACTTCAGGACGAATTAATGTTGCTCTGTAGGTCTATTAGAGACATTCTTAAATATTCCTAGCAAATCTAATAAATGCTGGAGACATACTCGTTACATAAACACACTAAATCGTAGGCTTGGGCGGTATCCAAATTTTGACACCGTCAAACCTCCCTATTTTACTCCGGTATGCGGTATTACCGTGCATAATAAAAAAAATATGACGTAAGGCGGCCTGAGGTTTGCGCTCATCTGTTTGTCTTGTTCGTGTTGGAGATCTGCGTGGGACACACACACAGAGAGCACGGGAAGGACACACAGCACCACACTCTCTCTCACACACACACACACACACACACACACACACACACACACACAGACAGACAGAGCGAGAGAGAGACGCACAGCACCACGCGCGCTCTCTCTCTCTCTGTGTGTGTGTGTGTGTTTCCGAATAAAGCGCGGGAGCGGTTGGTAACTAAAAAGGGAGCGGTCGCGCGGTCTTACAATATTGCTTCCGAGCACGCGCGCAACCACGTGGATGCTGTGTGTGTGTGTGTCTCTCTCTCTCATTCATACACACATACACACACACACACAGAGAGGGCACCAAGCAATACTCCTTCTGATACTCCCAGAGTTGTCTTTTCAAATGAAGTGACAGACCGTTTTAAAGCTGCGAAACATGCATGACGGTATAACGATATTAGAACTGACACCGTTGCTATTTTTAGATCCCGCGGTATACCATATTACCGTATTACCGCCCAAGCCTACTAAATCGCACTTCACCAGTGTTTATTTGAGAGCGCACAAGAACATGCGCTTGAGCAGCGTATATTTGTGGAGGCGTACAAGAAGTTTTGAGAAATCGTCGCACAAGCAAAGAGATAAATGCGATCTCGAATACTGCGCTCACGACATTTGTCATTGAAATAACGCCACAGGTAGTTGGTAGATCTGAGTAAAGAAGGCCTGCCGCCACAGCTGGATCCTAGAGGAAACACTGCATTTATGCTTCTCCCTACGTTGAAAATATAATTGGCTGAACCATAGAGAAGCTGAATTAAGATCGTGTGGGGGGTCAAATCGAGATTTGCCACCATTGTAGACGCTTCAAAAATGATTGGAGATGATTGACACTTTGGATGCATTTTTCATTGCTTTATGAATTCCATGCCTTTTCTGTTCCAAGCGTATCATAATATATACAGTAGTGCACTCTGTTTTGTTAAATCTATTGAGAATTATATGTAGCATCTTCTAATGTCTTGTTTAAAGTTTATTTCCATGTCAAAAATGTGTTTCTCTGAAAATCTCACTTGCGTTTACAGCAAGACTGTGTTGAACGTAATGAATATGCACAAATAAAGATGGCAAATGTTTTCACTCCAACTTTATTGTGGCAGTACTAACATATAAAACAATTGGTTTTATTTTCAGAACATATAAACAATCAAAAATCACTTTACAAATTGAATAAGGCGATTCCCGGTCAATCCGGGAACTGATTTTTTTTTTTCTTCTGATACTCCCAGAGTTGTCTTTTCAAATGAAGTGACAGACCGTTTTAAACTCAAACATTTATAAAGCTGCTAAACATGCATGAACACGTTTCACTTGCCGTGAAATCACCAAACACACAAACAAAAAGATTTCAAAGCTCTACTGAGAAATCAATAAAAACATGTACAAGCTTTTTCTGACCAGATGTTCGGTTCATTTGCATATACTCCTGTTTTACAGTATAATTACATGTTGATTTCTAAAGGGCAATGTTTATCAATGCGAGAAACATCTGGGTTAGACATTACATTTGTTTTCGCTACAAGGTTGTTGGGAATTTCATATTTCCAGGTCATTTCATACAGAAAACATTATGAGAAGATCAAATATTATATTTATAGAAGCATTCATATTTTTATTTGCTTATCGTTTCATTATTGTCATGATAATGAAGGACATTTCCCTCTTAAATCCTCATTACTGTAATGCATCCGCATGTTTGTGTATCTCATTAGATTGGTATTACTGTAATTAGGAGAACAATTAAAAATCATGTTGTCTGAAGGCAATATGCTTGCTTTTTAATCAGAAATAATTCATTCGGTGTCATTTTGCTGGTTAGTAATTAAACGAAAATAATCCAAACGTCCTGTAATATTTCCCAACTGGTCTTCATTTAAGAGAAAGTAAATTCATTCATTCATTTTCCCTTTATTCATCCACAGTGGAATGAACCACCAACTGTTCCAGCATATGTTTTACGCAGCAAATGCCTTTCCAGCTGCAACCCAGTATTGGGAAACACCCATACACTCTCTCATTCACACACACACACACACTCATACACTACGGCCAATTTAGTTAATCCAGTTTACCTATATACTGTGGGGGAAACTGGAGCATGGAAACTCACACCAACATGGGGAGAACATGCAAACTCTACACAGAAATGCCAACTAACCCAGCTGGGACTCAAATCAGTGACCTTCTTGCTGTGAGGCAGCAGTGTGAGCCACCAAGCCACCCCTTTTCAGTAAATTGTTTTTAATAAACAATTTATTTCGTTGTCGCAATGACGACGGTGCAGAATATTTTACTAGTTAATTGGGCGAACTATAGGCAACCAAGTCATTCAATCGAAAAAAATAAAATAAAAATAAATAAATAAAAGTCTTAAGAGAACTAATTATATTGACCGTAGCAGTATTTACATTAGTATAAAATATATATTTAATATAATTGCATCATTTTAAAATAATTTATTCCAGCCAAATTAAAAGAAAACACTTTTTTTTCCAATAAAATAAAAAATTTAAATACTCATTTTAATAAGCATTTGGGAAATATGTATAAAAAGGATTACAATTTTACAGGAGGGCTAATAATTTTGTCTTTAACAGTGTATTATATATATTTATACAACAGTTCTGTCTGGTTTAAGTGGTGGCGTGTTGGTGACGAATGAAATACTGTTTCTGGGTCCAAGCCGCCGCTCATTTGAATCGAGAAAATATTTGTTTATGATCACTTTTTATTCATGACACACATTAAAGTGAACTGTATATAAAATCATGGTGTACACAACAATCTCTGGACTTTTTGTAACAATTTGTAAAATAATGAATCACTTTCTGGCCATCAGATATTAGGCATGGACATATGTATTGCGATCGTGATTCGAAAACATTACATCGCTTTGTAAACGTTTATTATTACCATTTCATGAGTTTCCCCATACATTTTGATAGAGCGCTTGGACCCGGAAGCTACTTCGCGTGACGTCACACTTAACAAGCGGATATCAGAACTCATACGGCCTCTTCACCCTTGTGTATTACTCCGCCCACACGAGTGGCAAGCAGAGGGCTACAGTTTGACAAATATTGCAGCTGTTGGACAACATAATGTACTTTTGAGGCTTTTTTTAGTTGACAATATACACTGAAAAAAGTGTTGCATGCAGAACTGTGGCAAACAATTTATTTGTGTTGAATTTAAACAAACAAATTAAGTTTAATAATGTTCAACTTAATTTGTTTGTTTAAATTCAACACAAATAAATAGTTTAGAACCACTTAACGTAAAAAATATTAAGTAAATCCAAGGAATCATCTTTGAATAATTTTTTTCAGTGTAGTTGTTTAGATTACAACTATGCAGTTTATTTATAAGTCCAGTGCCTATTTTAAAATATTTATAATTTGGGAGATTCAGTGCATTGGAGGCCATCAGCCTGCCATACTGAGCAGAGCAAAGACAGTTGACGTTCCACCACAAGATGGCGACAGACAGCATAATACGTCCTTAGGGGAGAAAACCAGCAATTTTTCAGCGTAAATTTCAAATTACAGCTGAAGAAATCCATACAGAACAGGTAAGTGACATTCTCGTCGATCTCTCTCATTAATATGTTGTAGTGCTGTATTTATATCATAGTAATCTGCCAGTGTTTGCTTTGCTTTGGCTTTTTCGGGAGTTAATTATTGTGATCTCCCGATTGCAACAGAGAAATATTGGGAAGTCTCTGTAGACTGATGGCATTTCATGCTGTTCAGCCTTATAATCTTGAAATTTGAGCAAAATCACCTGATTTGTCATCACTGTAGACATTATGCTAGAGAATCACTCAAATACTAGCTCTAAAGTCACGTTGATGAATTAGCAACGGTTTCTGCTGTTCTGACGTCAGCTGCAGATGTGAATGAATGGCGGAAGAATGTAGTTCCACTTATAAAAGAATTTTGAGACTCTCCGTGTTTAATTTTCTTTTCATATACACGATAATGCTGTTGAACTGTTGTATAAACGAAATATCACACGAGTAGCAGTGCGATATGGCTGTCAACATATGGTAAGACACTAATCCACTCAGCCTGCGGCCTCGAGCCAAAGCACACCTCACACCAGTGCCGATATACAGCCATATCACACTGCTAATCATGTAATATTGCTCATATATATATATATATATATATATATATATATATATATATATATATATATAATTTGAGGGTAAATTGAGACCCTGATATGTTCTTTACAGGAATAAATTGACCAAAAACGTTAAACAAATGCAAATATTCTACAATTTATCATACAGTAATTAACTAACACATGAAAATTGTTGTTCGAGCAATAAATGCTGGTGTAAACAAACCAAAGATGTAAAAAAAAAAACATTAGTATCAGTGTTCAGTTTACATCGGGAACAGTTTTGTCCACAGGAGAAATAAAAATAAAAGGATCACAGCTCTAGTAAACATAAAAGTCTCTGTGTCCCATCATGCAACAGAATAGCAAGGCAACAACAACCAAAAAAAAAAAAAATTAACTTTAAACTAATTCCAGTGCATGAATTGCAGTATGAAACAGAAGTTTACCCGATTAAAGGAGTTCGGACATCTATATTTTGCCACACTACAATATACGATAAGAGATGTTCAGGTTATTGGACCAATTCAATCAGCCTTCTAGAAAACTAATGAGTGTGTTTAAAGGGACAGTTCACCCCATAATATTTCAATTCTGTCATCATTTACTCACCCTTGATTTGTTCAAAACTTTTATAAATGTCTTCTATTAAACACAAAAGAAGATACTTTGAAGAATGTTGGAAACCGGTAACTATTGACCCCCTACAATAGAAGTCAATGTTTACAGGTTTCCAACATTCTTCAAAGTATCTTCTTTTGTGGTTAATAGAAGACATTTATAAAAGTTTTGACATTCTTCCAACATTCTTCAAAGTATCTTTTTTGCGTTTAGCAGAAGTAAGACAGTCATAAACAGTCTGAAAGATCAGTTTTGGGTGAACTGTTCCTTTAAAAAGCGCTTGTCGGGTTGACTGGACGTGTCCACTGGTTCTCTGCTTTCATTGGTCATGATAACACACATTAAAGCACAAAGCAGGACTATCTATTATCTACATTTTACACATATGTTTTTATAACGGTGAGAACTATACTACGACTTTGCGTCAGAAGTATGCATGAATGCTGTATTTCATGAATCCATCAGTGAAAATGACTCAACCCTGAGCTGGAAGTGCAGAGAAACCTGAACACCAAAGGAAAAAACAAACCTTTTACAGTCGTATGATCATTACAGGAGTAAGACTCGATGAGTTTATACACGTCAGACACTTGAGAATGAGAATGAGCTTTTCTTTTTTCCAGTATTTACATAGGTTTACATGCGAGTGAGTGTCACTGTTGAATGTACACCGTCATCTGCTCGTGGTGTTTGTGGAAGCTACCAGAGAAAAACTGGACAGTCTGAAAAAGGTTCAATAATTAGCTGTTTATTTGAGGTGTTTGTTTATTTTCGTTCATATTGTAGTCTGTTCTTTAAGGTTAATAAATATGTTTTTTCTACATCTACTGTCTAATGTTTATTTGATGCAAAGTTGTGATTAATTATGATTAATTTTGTTAATCAGATCAAAAACTTTTTTGGCAACCCTGTAAATATAGTACAACAGTAGTGTAGGGATTACAAATTACCACCTACTCCAAGAAAGAAAAAAAAATAGTAATTTTACTGTACTTAAGCAAGCAATTAAACTAAGTGTAACCAGGAACTGCTATGCTGACTTGGCTAAAATGTCATTATTATGCACATAGTTCATCTAGAATTTTAAGGCAATGGCTTCCCAGCAGGCCCAGGATGTCAACATGTCATCAGATTGACGTCGTGGGAATGTTACAGTTTGTTTGGAAATAAAAACCGGGCTGATGGCAGAACCCAACTTTAGACCGATGTCAGTGTCCAACATCCAACCTTAAATCAACTAAATATCAACGTCTAATAATGTTACAGCTTGACGTTGTGTGAACATTACCACTATGACGTCTATTAGACGGTTTTTGTTTGCCACACCTGATGAATAATTGTCAATATTTTACATCAATATGACGTTGGTTTAAAATGTTGGCTCGACGTTGGATTTTGGTCACTTTCCAACACAACCTAAAATCAACCAAATAACAACGTATTTACTAGATGTCATGTCCTAAATCTAACCTAGTTTTATCGTCTTATGCCATTCTGTGCCTGCTGGGTTTACTTGCTTTATATTAGGTACCTTCACTATGTAAAAATAAAATTACAAATAAAATATAATAAACAAAATAAGTTGACTTTACCTAAAACAGCAAGTAAACCTGTTGTCACTTTAACATTTAGTTAAGTCAACTTTATTTTATTATGCATATAGTTATATATGTTATATATAGTTATGCATATAATTTTAAGGTAATGGCTTTTCTCACTTCTTAAAGTAAAGTCAACTAATCCCCTTTTAAGGTGTACAAATGTTCAATTTAAAATTAATAAAATATTAGGCCCTGCTTTATATTAATTACCTTTACTATGTAAACATAAAATAAAAAATAAAATAAAATAAACAAAATCTGTTGACTTTACCTAAAACAGCAAGTAAACCTGTTGTAACTTTATTATGTACATAGTTAATTATTCATTTTAATGCGATGGCTTTACTCGCTTTTTTAAATTAAGTCAACTAATCACTTTTTAAAGTATATATGTTTAATTTTAAATTAACAAAATATTAGGCCCTGCTTTATATTAGAAACCTTTACTATGTAAAATAATAATAAATTAAATTATATTAAAGTAAAATAAAAACAACATAAGTGGACTTTACTTTAAAAAGCCTGTAAACCTGTTGTAACTTATTAAAATTGAATTGACTACATTTTAATGCATATACTGTAGTTTATTTACTTAATTTTAAGTTAATGGCTTTACTTACTTCTCAAAGTAAGGTCAACTAATCCCCTTTTAAGGTGTACATATGTTCAATTTAAAATGAATAAAATATTAGGCCCTGCTTTATATTAGATACCTATACGGTGTCAAAATGAAATAAAATACATCAAAATAAAATAAACAAAAACAGTATAAGTAGACTTTACTTAAAACAGCAAGTAAACCCATTGTAACTTAAAAATGTTAAGTTGACTTAACTAAATGTTCATTATTATGACCATAGTTCATTTAGTTAATCATTTTAATGTGACGGCTTTTTTTATTTTTATTTTTTTATTGAGCCAACTAATCACCTTTTAAAGTGTACTTATGTTTAATTTCAAATTAACAAAATATTAGCTGCTTTATATTAGGTACCTTCACTATGTAAACATAAAATATATTAAAATAAAAACATAAATTGACTTTACTTAAAACAGCAAGTAAACCTGTTGTAGCTCAATTTTAAGTTGACTGAACTAAATTTAATTAAATGAACTATATGCATAATAAAATTAAGGTAATGGCTTTACTCACTTTTTAAAGTAAGGTCAACTAATCCCCTTTTAAGGTGTACACATGTTCAATTTAAAATTAACAAAATATTAGGCTTTATATTAGGTACCTTCACTATGTAAAGATAAATAAAATAAATTATATTGAAGTAAAATAAAAACAAAACGAGTGGACTTTACTTAAAACTTCAAGAAATGCCATAGTAACTTAAAAATGTTGACTTAACAAAATTTGTATTATTATGCACACAGTTCATTTACTTAATTTTAAGACAATAGCTTTACTCGTTAATTTATTAAGTCAGCTAATCGCATTTTATAGTTTTCATATGTTTAATTTTAAATTAACAAAATTTTAACCGCTTTATATTCATTAAAATAAAAGAAGAAGAAGAGTACAAAGTCATTTTCCAAACCACTTTTGCTGCCTGTTGCAGTGGAATATGGGTATGTTCAGCAGTGTAATAGGCCTACTGTATTTTTTAAATTTAAATATCAATAAATATCAATGAACATAATAGCGTGTCCTTGTTTTTGACTGGTAGTCTACACGGTATGTGATTTAAAACAAAAAACATTGATGATATATCAGAGAAAAAATGTATTTACACGGACAAACACTGACTGAGTCACAACTTTATGCTCTATGTCGATGTTATATGTTGTAATGGTAATGTAATAATGAGACTGAACATCACACATAACATATACACTATCAAATATTTTCTCTGGTAAATGCTCTGTAAGATTTGCTGATATGCATATTTGTTTCATTTTCGTCTGTTTTTCTATCAGAAAATAAACAGCTCTTTAAAGATCCCTCGCGTACTGTACGTTCCTGAGAGCGCCACCTGCTGTTTCTACAGAGCTCGTCTGAGTGTGTGATGCATTGACAGAAGTGTGTCGTAGCCCTTTTGCTTTTACCTCAGCACCATCACATCACATCTGGTATTCGTTTAACTGGATTAGTTCATGCGGATGAGCTCAAAGCCTGTCAGGAAGAAGAAAAAAAAAAATGCTAATCTAATCATCTAATCATTAGCCCCTTTCACACATTAACTAGCGTTAAAATACAACAGCAGCGGTTCATCCTTTCAAAGGGATCGTGACATAAGAAATCAAATTGGTCACTGGTCTTTGGGAATCAAAGCTTTGGTCTATTAAATCATAGCTTAAAATGGTTTTTACATGTCAACACTGTTAGCCTAGCATCCCCACTACCACTTCACCTTCTGTCAATATATCGACCGTCCTTTCAAAATGAAATGCCCAAAATAAATAGTGTTACTACATTATTTTACTACAATATAAAGCAAAGCACTTACTATTAGCATTAGCAATTAGCATTTAACTTTGTGTGAAGTCAAAATTCATTGTTTATTTTGCTAGCCCACATTGTTATTCTTTAGGTGAACAATACGTCTCTGCGAGTGAAAATAAATGTTTGGTTAGATCTTCAACGCTATTTCACCACAATTTGTAAGTTTATGTTGATGGTGTTTGATGGTGTTGATGGTGTTTGGTGTTTGATCTAAACAGTAATTTACTGAATGTGTGAAAATACTATAAACCCTTTAAGTAGCTATTAGCTAACAGTATGTGTGAAAGGGGCTATAAGCTTATTGTAAAATAAAAATAGCTATTAGCTTGTTGTGAATAAATAAAAAAAATTTAAGTCTTCACAGGTTTTTCAGGTTTTAAAATAGGACAGTTTTAAAGGGACAGTTCACCCAAAACTGAATATCTCAGTCACAAACCTCCTTGAATTTAGATTTTTTTTTTCTGTTTAACACACACAAAAAAACTGATTTAAAAAAAAATGTTGGAAACCACTAATCATTGATTTCCAAAGTATTTGTTTTTCCTACTATGGAAGTCAATGGTTACCGGTTTCTAACATTCCTAAAACCTTTTTTTATGAGTGTTGAACTGAAACAAAAAAAAAAGAAACTCATAAAGGTTTAGAACCACATGAAGTTCAGTAAACAACCATTACATTTGGGTGGATTTAATAATAGAATAGACTGCGCTAAACAAGTCATCAAAAGCAATGCTACACTGAGACCAAAGCACACTTCAACCGATATCTGATGGATAAAATCAATAATGTGTGACTGAAACCCTGCACTGATACACCTTACAGAATCGATTAAAAATACTTTTCAGAAATATATTGAAAAATCCAATTGTACAAAATGAAACTGAAACGTTTGGGCCAACGCAATCTCACGGCAATTCGTAACTTTTTAATTTAGTAGCTTATTCGTATAAATTCGTACGATCTCATTCATACAACTGAGTACGATTTGCTCAACCCCCAATGATGGTTGAGTTTAGGGGCGGGGTTTGGTGCCACAACTCATTTAAAATCCTATAGTTTTGTACAACTGAACTTGTACGAATTCTTACGAATTAGCCACTAAACTGACAACAAGTATAATAGTTACGTTTCCTTGTGAGAGCCAATTGTGCAAAATTAAACTTAAACGTTTGGGCCAACGCTATTTCACAGCAATTCGTAACTTTTTGATTTAGTAGCTATTTTGTATAAATTCGTACGATCTCAATTGCACAATTTAGTACAGTTTGCTCATCCCCCAATGATGGCTGGGTTTAGGGAGGGGGTTTGGTGCCACGCCTCCTTTTTAAAATCATATATTTTGTACAACTGAACTTGTACGAATTCGTACGTACTAGCCACTAAACTGACAAAAAGTAAAATAGTTATTTTTTCTCGTGAGAGCCAATTGTGCAAAATAAAACTTAAACGTGTGGGCCAACGCTCTCTCATGGCAATTTGTAACTTTTTGATTTAGTAGCTTATTCGTATAAATTTGTACAATCTCATTCGTACAATTTATTACGATTTCCTCATCCCCAATGATGGCTGAGTTTAGGGGCGGGATTTGGTGCCACGCCTCCTTTTTAAAATTAGATATTTTCGTACAACTGAACTCGTACGAATTCATACGTATTAGCCACTAAACTGAAAAAAAATGTAAAATAGTTATTTCCTCGTGAGAGCAGGCTGTCTATAAACTAGCTCCTCTTTCATTGTTTAAATGCATGTGCTCAGTCTTTTCATTACTCCATAATAATACAGACAAACTTTCTGTATGTTCTTGAATAATGCGTAATCATCTGCATCTATGGCGTTTTGGTTATGTTTGTATGCACTATGTTGTGTGATTACAGTGATCAGTTTGTTCAAACATACAAGCACAGCCTGCTGTAACATCTGCTCATGACATCTGAAAATCTGAAGAAAAAAACGAAATCTGTTTTTCGTAGTTTGTGCTATTCTATATAAAAACGCAGCACAGCATTTTAAGGTAAATTTTCAGTGATAATAAAAAATATTTCACCTCTACACCACCTACTTTTTTTTAGTTTAAATAAGATTATAACTTAGATTTATTTATTTATTTTTTTTGCTGAAAAATATAAGTAACTGTAAGCGTCACATTAAAAAATGTATAAAATTTTAAAAACAGATATTACGTTTTAGCTTGTATAGCTTGCCCTCGTTCTCATATCTAGTCTGTGTGTCTATGTGTGTGTGTGTGTGTTTTAATACAGTGTTGTGAGGTCAGAATCTGTCATTGGATTTTTAAGAAAATAAGGTTTTGATTGAGGGAAGCGGGTCTGAGCTCCTTGTCCTGCCTGTGCATCTTCTACATTTTGACATCTGTTATTTGATCTGCATTGTAATGGAGGTGGATTGAGGCAAAGCATTTCGCACTGCAGGAAGAGGGTCCAAAATTAGCTTAAACTTGAATAAAACGAGTCTTTGGTGAGTATGAGGAATTATTATTAAATAAAATCAATGGTAATATTCAGTGTCAAGTGATCCTTCAGAAAGCTTACTAATATGTGACCCTGGACTACAAAGTATTTTTTTTTCATTTAAACATTATCTTTCCATTGATGTATGTGCTAGGATAAGACAATATTAGGCTGATTTGAAAATCTGAAATCAAATAATTCTTTAAAGTCTTTAAACTTGACTAAATTAAGCTGTTAGCACTGCACATTACAAATCAAAAATTAAGTTTTAATTAAGTTTCACATTACTATCAATGGTGAACAGCTGTGAGAAAAGACTTTCATTTCAATACCCTAGACTGTTTAAAAATATAAAAATAACAAATAAAAAAGATTAATCTGGTGTATATTTATTTATACAACAGTTCTGTCTGGTTCATGAATCTGATTGGTTGACAGCCATGTGATATTCCAACACAATCTCACGGCAATTCGTAACTTTTTCATTTAGTGGCTAATTCGTACATTTTAGTACGATTTGCATATCCCCCAATGACGGTTGGGTTTAGGGGTGGGGTTAGGTGCCACGCCTCCTTTTTAAAATCGTACATTTTCTTACGACTGAACTCGTACGAATTCGTACGAATTAGCCACTAAACTGCCAAAACGTAAAATACTTACGTTTTCTCGTGAGATCAGGCTGGATATTCTGCAATATCAGCAATCGTACAGCCTCCTCACCCTTGTGTATTACTCCGCCCACGTAGTGACAGCGGATCAATTAACTCACTACAGTTTGACAAATATTGCAGCTGTTGGACAACATTATGTACTTTTAAGGCTTTTTTAGGCCTTTAGATTGCAACTATGCAGCTTATTTATAAGGATAGTTCCTTTTTTTAAATACTTATAATTTCTAAAAATTCAGGCCATCAGCCTGTCATTAAGCAGAGCAAAACTGGTTGCACCACAAGATGGTGACAGAGACAGTATAATACGTCCTTAGGGGAGGAAAAACTCAAACTACAACTGTTAAAATTATTTTTAAACAGGTAAGTGACATTCTAAGTCGATCTCTCTCTTTTGTATGTTGTAGGGCTGTATTTATACCATAGTAATCTGCTAGTGTTTGCTTTGCTTTGGCTTTTTCTGGGTTGATTATTGAGATCTCCTGATTCCAACAGAGAAATACTGGGAAATCTCTGTAGACTGATGGCATTTCATGCTGTTCAGCCTTACAAACTTAAAATGTGAGCAAAATCACCTGTTTTGTCATAACTGTAGACATTATGCTAGAGAATCACTTGAATACTAGCTTTAAAGTCACGTTGGTGAATTAGCAACGGTTTCTGCTGTTCTGATGTCAGCTGCAGATGTAAATAAATGGCGTAAGAAAGTAGCTCCTCGTACAAAAGGATTTTTCAGACTCTCCATGTTTGATTTTCTTTTTGTATACACAATTATGGCATTGAACTGTTGCATAAATGCAATAACACTCATAGCAGTGCAATATGGCTGTATATCGTCAATGGTGGGACACTAAGGCACTCGGCTTGTGGCCTCGAGCCAATGCACGCCTCCCACCAGTGCCGATATACAGCCATATCGCACTACTACTCTTGTGTGTGTGTGTGTGTGTGTGTGTGTGTGTGTGTGTGTGTGTGTGTGTGTGTGTGTGTGTATATATATATATATATATATATATATATATATATACATACACACACACACATATATATATGTACACACATACATATATATATACACACACACACACACACACACACAAAATAATAAAAAGAACATTATATTTATTATTTTTAAAATAGTATTTAATTTATTTAGTATTAAATAAACAAAAAATTGTATTCACTCACCACTAACAAGTTAATTTTGGACCCTGACTGATTTTTTTTATGTTTATGAAAACGGGCAGATGAAATGAATGAAAAGTATAGAAAAGTCATACATAACCATAGTCGATGTTGAATTGTATGATGTATTTCAGAGCTGTGCTTTTTGTACACCCTTTTTCTGAACTCTACAGAGCTGAAGGTGCTGCAGTCCGGCATGAAAAGAAAAGCTACAGCTAAAACAACAGCCAGTCTCAATAACTGCTACAGCAACTTATCAGCATGATTCTCAAAGAAAAAAAAGAGAAGAAGATGTGAATGAATAACCCATGTAGGAGAGCAAACCTGTCCTTCTGGTTTCATTCCCATCCCTATTCATTCCCTGAAAGATGCTCCGTCATGATCTGGAGCTTGCAGAGGAACCAGCGGCGGAGCGGGCAGTAGTACTCGTAGTGAAACTGCTCAAACTCGGGCGTCTGCCGGATGTCGTGCAGGAAGGAGATGTCCAGATCTGACTCCAGCAGGACGAGGAGTAGCGGCAGCAGGATCATGAGGAGACCCGTGGCCATCAGCACTAGACGGGCAGCGCTGCGGAGGCATGCCTGCATCTGCTGGCGTCCCGATGACGGAGAGCAAAGCGACTGCCGAAAGGCCTCTCTTTCTGCCTCCCTCTGCCGCTCCGCCTGAAGCTCCCTCTGCATGTCCGGGTCGGCATGCAGCTCCTTCAGCAGACGTGCGGGGCTCTGAAACAGCAGCTCCAGGCCGCCCTGAGCCTCCTCCACCGGCGTGGGCACCAGGCTGGCACACGGGCTGTAGGCGGTGTCGGAGATGGTATGAGCGCCACCGCTGGTGTCATCTTCACTGTCCACGTGGATCTCTCTCCTGTCCTCGTCCACTCGGGTCCGCTGAGAGGCTTCATCTTCTCGTCTCTCCTGGCTGAAGTTTAGCATCTCCTCCATCTCGGCTTCTTCAGGAGTGACCGACGGCTTGAGTGGGGACAGGTGAACGCAGTCTTTCAGAGCTGAAAGTCCTGCAGAAGCAACAAGTGCTTGCGTTAATCAATGAATCATTTATTTCGTTTAAGAATACTCTGCATTGTATTAACTTCAAAACATTTAGATATGGTCTCCTTTTCCTGAATTTTGAGCAGCCACAATATATAGCTGCAGGTACTCACTAAGCTCCTTTGTCTCTCCACAAACCAACAGTGTCTAGAACAGTCCACAAACTAGCACAGAGCTTCTGTTTTCCACCAGCTGGGTTGATTAAAACAGCAGTTCCCAATGCATCAGGGTCATTGGGATGCTTTAGAACAGCTTGGACTATTTGGAATGGGCTAGAACAGTGGTTCTCAAACTGTGGTACGTGTAACACTTGTGGTACGCTGGCTTACTTCTAGTGGTACGCTGAGGAATCACTGAGTGATGAAAGAAAAAATGAATATAATTATAATTATTTGATGTGTACGATAACACTAATGTGATCAGCATTGGCTGTTCTCTAAAGCCTACGATCAAAGCGATGTGCTTAGAACGTTTACTTTAGTGCATCGCGTCATCAGCTGCTAAAAATCAACTCAAATGATGCACAACTAGAGAAAGAGGTGTGTGGTGCTTGCAGAGCAGATACGCGCTAGAGCAGTGGTCCCCAACCCTCGGGCCACAGACTGGCACCATTCTATAGATCAATCGGTATCGGGCCGCACAAAAAAAAAATGATTGTTTCCGTTTTATTTATAATCAGAGTCTGAACGATCATTTATTTAGAAAAATCTTTTATTTTGAAAAATGACCATATTGTCTTGTTACATCTCGGTCACATGAGCATCAAAATTTAACCCAGGGGCTAGTAAAATGAGTAAGAACTGCAGCACGACGCACTTGCATATTCCAGGCTTGCCCGATTAAAAACATCCTAACTTTTCAAAATGCCACGCCACGAGTCACGTGACAAGAACTGACTGATCAGCCTCATATTTTGTATGCAAACACAAACACCCAAACTCTGCAGTGCTTTTTATTTTCTCCGCATATGTTTTGTCAGCTTGACATCCTCTGAGAAAAATGGGTTCCCTACCAATCTACATACAAGTTATTGTTTAGATTTTAAAAAGTTTTAAAAATATGTCATATGTACATGCAACATACATTTCAAAGTTTTTAAAAAATTGTATAAATATGAATATGACTCTGCCTCGAAATGTGCAGTGCTGTAGCTGCCTAGTTTGGCCAACTACGCTACTGTATTTCAATACTGATCATTGTGGTGATACTTGGAGAGACAATCTTTTTTGAGGTGATCTGATCTAGAACTTTCAATTTTCCCATTGACTTCAGCAGAAACAGATAAACAGTCTTTCAGAGCTGAAAGTCCTGCAGAAGGAACAAGTGCTTGGGTTAATCAATACATTTTGTCTTTTATTTAAATAATACTAGTAGCTGCTGGAACTTCAAATATTTAGATATGATCTTACAGCCTTTTCCTGACTTTTGAGCAGCCACAATGTGCAGCTACAGGTCCTCACTGAGCTCCTCTGTCTTAAAGCTGAATTTTACCAAAGACTATAAAATACACAAGACATGTCACTCGTATAGTTTTGAATGGGGAAAAGTGTAATGGTCAATATGGTGAATGAAGCCCCGCCTTCTATCACAAGAGCCAATCAGAGGTCGCTTTATACTGGGGATTCTCTAGGGAAGAGGCTCAGACGGTTGTTGCTAGATCACATATGGTTGTGGCCGAAAGTTTATTTACATTATTTATAAAATTTTCCATTTATTGTATTTTATTAACGTCTACCGCCAACTCTACCCTAAACCCAACCGTCACAGTAATGTAAAAACAATAGTTGTACCGAGTATTATTTATCTTGTCTATATTAAATTACCCAATAAATTGTATTTTTTAATGCCTACCCACACCCAAACCCTAGACCCCACCGAACTGTAAAAATACGAATTATTGTTAGACAGTGTCATTAAATAATGCTGCCATATTAATGTGCATTTCGCACTTCTGGGTGTGTGAAACCCCCTGTCGCCGATCCATCTTGCAGTGTAAACAAAGCAGCGACAAAACGCTAGCCCAGACATCTGTGACATGACTACTTTGAAAATCATCTCTCAGGCAGCACTGCATCAAGAATCCTCATTTATCGATAAGCGATATCACCACATGGGCTCAGGACTACTTTGTCAAACCTTTGTCAAGTACCACAATACATTGTGCATACAATACACGCTGCATCCACAAATCCCAGTTGAAACTGTATTGTGCCAAAAGAAAGCCCTATGTTAACAGTGTCCATCTATATTCATTCTTTTATTTTATTTTCGGCTTAATCCTTTTATTAATCTGGGGTCGCCACAGAGGAATGAACCGCCAATTTATCTATAATATGTTTTACCCAGTGTATGCCTTCCAGCTGCAACCCAGTACTGGGAAACACCCACACAGCTTTCAGACACATAAACTGCGATCAATTTAGCTTACCCAATTCACCTATAGAGCACGTCTATATGACTCGTGGGGGAAACCTGAGCACCTAGAGGAAACCCACGCAGAAATGCCAACTGACCCGGCTGAGGTTCAGAATTATATTTTTTTCAACACATTTCTAAACATAATAGTTTAATAAAAACTAGTTTCTAATAACGGATTTCTTTGATCGAATAATATAAAATAATGACTTATTAGGCAATTAGGCAAGTCATTGTATGACGATTGGTTTGTTCTGTAGTCAATTGAAAATAAATTATTAATATTAAAACTAATAATATTGACTTTAAGAATAATTTTGAAACCGCTTTAAAATATTATCGGAAATACTGAAAATTGTTTTGCACGTTAAATATCACTTGAGAAATATTAGAAAAAGAATAAATATTTCACAGGAGGGCTATTCACTTTGCCCTCAACTGTATACAATATATAGACAAACTAAACGGCAAGCTAAATCTTGTGCTCTTTAGTCTGCATGTTTTATTATATGTTTATATAGTGGTTGGGAGGCACGGCTGTAGCCTGTGTTCTTTGGGCAAGTCCAGTCTAAATATAGACCCAGCTGCCTGGGTATAGTGTGGATTAAGACAAGTCTCCTGGCTAAGTTGTCACTGACGTCGAAGCTTCTCCATGCAACTATTCTCTAACACGCACACACAGACACACACACACACGCTTAGAGTGTTATCTAACATAACCATCATTTCATTTCAAAATCATATATAATAGCTCTATTAAAAATATATATATGTATATTATTATTATTGGACTGATAGCCTTTAATTCACACTATGTAAATAAATGACTTTCCATTGACACTGTAGTAGATATCATGGCATCAGCACTGACAGTCACCTAATAGTGCCTGAAATGTAATATCTGTCAAATTAATTGGTTAATTATGTGTTATCTGTTGAACAACTTATATAAAACACACACTTTAGCATGTAGATGCCAGCATGGTGATGCTTATAGGGACGTTTAACCCAGGGGGAGGCAACAGTCGTCACTGGAAACAGACCATCACAGCTGCCATGGCAACAGTTCGATGACACAATAACTAAATCTGAGGGTGATTTTTCCAAAGGAGTGTGAAAGGCATAAGAGGAAAACAGATGCGACCTGGATTTTGATTCGTTTTCTGTGTTATTCGTAACATGACTTTAACTACAAGGTAACAACATTCCAGTCACTCAATCAATTTGATTATTTTGTACAGATGCAAGCTGTAATGTTGTGTTGTTTTTGGTAGTAGCAGTTTTTGTAATACTGACACATGATGAGCTAAATTGGCTGAAGTGTATGAGTGTGTGTGCAAATGTGAGAGTGTATGGGTGTTTCCCAGTACTTGGTAGCGGCTGGAAGGGCACCCGTTATGTAAAACTTATGCTGGACAAGTTGTTGGTTCATTCCGCTGTGGTGACCCCTGATGAATAAAGGGACTAAGCCGAAGTAAGATTAATGAATAAATAAAGCTAAATGTACGATTCAAGTTAAAACTAGTTATAATGGGAGTATTTAAGTTAATATTTTCAAGACAAAATGTCCTTACATAAACATACAAACAGTATTTTTAGAGATAACTTTAATATAACGTCATTCATTCATTTTCTTGTCGGCTTAGTCCCTTTATTTATCCGGGGTCGCCACAGCAGAATGAACCGCCAACTTATCCAGCAAGTTTTTACGCAGCGGATGCCCTTCCGCCACAACCCATCTCTGGGAAACATCCACACACTCATACACTCATACACTACGGACAATTTAGCCAACCCAATTCACCTGTACCGCATGTCTTTGGACTGTGGGGGAAACCGGAGTACCCAGAGGAAACCCACGCTAACACAGGGAGAACATGCAAACTCCACACAGAAACGCCAACTAAGCCGAGGTTCGAACCAGCGACCTTCTTGCTGTGAGGCGACAGCACTACCTACTGCGCCACTGCCTCGCCCTTAATATATTGTGTTATTATTAAAAAATATATATTTCATAGAATTAAAGGTTGATCTAGGAAATGCAAAAATACAGCAATTCTGGAGTGACGCCTTAGAAATGGCCAGAGATGGGAAGTAACGAAGAACAAATACTTTTGTACTTACTTTTGTAAGTACTTACTGTACTTAAGTAGATTTTTCTGGTATCAGTGCTTTACTCCACTACTTATTTTTCCCTCACGAACGCAGGAAGAACATGCAAACTCGACATAGAAATGCCAACTGACCCAGCCGAGGCTAGAACCAGCGACCTTCTTGCTGTGAGGCGACAGCACAACCTACTGCACCACCGCGTCGCCCTAATTCATAACTCAAATCTATGAAATAAATACATACTGTAAATAAATACTGACCAACAAAAAAAAAAAATACATTAAAATAAAAAAATATATATACCGAATGAAATTTGTTAAACAAATGGAGTGTTTTATCAACAAAATTAGGCTATATGAAATGGTCAAAAATTGTGTCAATGTTTCTTCTTGCTCTTTTGGGTTTTTCATCTGTAGTTTTTTTTTTTTTTTTTGTCTTA